CAGCATTCTTAGGAGATACTAATGAACACTTCCAAACTCTGGCCTGCTTTCCAGTGATGTGAAAGCTCAGCAGCATGTCTAAGTGATAGAGAAGGGACAAAAATCACCCCCACCTACTTGCTTGAATATGGAGACAAATTGGGCAGCAGATGTGTTATGGTTAATCTTCATGCTGCCATCATCTCCAACAGGTGGAAGCGATCTTTGATGTAACAGGTTGACAGCAGCAATGTTGGCATTGTTATCTTTCAGGACAGTATGGCATGGAGAATATGGACCATGACACTCATCCTAGACATGTGCAGCCAAGCAAAATATGGATAGGGACTGGAGTTTCTGCTGCAGAGGTTCACACTGCAGGAGAGTGCACCTCAGGGCTGATACAGCCCAGACTGCCAAGTGTCCCCCAAGGGAGGAACTCTGGCTCTTGGGAACACTGCTATCTCTGCTGCTAGTGCTCTGGGGGCTGCTGAGCTGCTCCATGCTGACTGTGATAGTTGCTCTGATTCTGCAAGCCACTGCCAGTGCATTCTCATGTTTCTCCAGGCTTTAATTCTCAGTTCATGATCTCTTTGTGATCTATGAAGAAAGTCTTCCTCTGTGTCTTTGTCTCCACAGACAGGAAGTTTTTATTCCGTTCTGGTCACACTACTGAGGCTGCGCCTTCTTTCTGCGGAAGAAAGAGCCTCAAAGGCTCTCATACCTGACAGACACATGGATGTCAAGCTGTTTCCTGGCACCACCACATTCCGTTGGTACTGCTTCCACATCCAGGACAAAGGCCTCTTCTGTTTTGGGTGGTGGAATGTTATAGTACAAAGTAGTCTGGTGGGGAAGAAAACATCTCTGTGAAGTGCCCCAGAGGTTCCTTGTATGAGCTAAAGGACTATCTGTGTCTCCAGCTTTTAACCAATTGGTAACCAGTGGCTAACAGAGTTGGCCCTAACTGTGCTTTCTGTTCAGGCGTGCTGTTTAGCACACAGCATCATATACATCTGCCAAATGTAATCCTCAGCATGGAGGCTCAACTATCCGTGATCCGAAGCCTTATGCAGTACAACATTTTCTCAGTCTTACTGAAAAAAATATTGTTAAAGTGTGAAAAGTACATTAGCTAAAACCTTGCCCACAAGGAGAAAGAAGTGTAACTGTTAACTGCTGACATGATAATAGTTAGTAGTTCTAGGTCTCAAAATAGGTCTCAAAATACTGACAAAACAACTATAAAACCCTTAAGAAAGAATGAGCATAGAATCAGAAGAGAACAACTCAGTAAGACAGATAATCACACTCCTCCAAAGAGCAGCATAGGCCAATCTTCCTTCACCTACCTGGTGACTGACTGCCTGGCCAGCAGGTACTCATCAGATGTCTTATGTTTACTGACTATGTCTGAGTGTAGCCAAGTAGCATGAGTCCTAGTTACCTCCTACATGCATTAACAATAAATAATTGTTATGTTCCTTTGTATAGACACTGCTTGCAGATTCTCTGTAAGCATCATAAGAGATGGCTGAACAGAAGCGACCCAGTGAGGGAGGTTTTCACAAGGAGTGACTTGAGTTCTTTGCTGCATGGATGGCTCATAAGTAGACCACTATCAAAGCTGCCAGAAAAATAAGATGTGCTCTTCTGATGGACCAGTTGTGTTGGTGTACTGGGATAAGAAGACCTTGGTCTTATATCACTCTTCATCTCCGTGTGTGACAACAACTCAAAGAATATTATGTCAGAAGACATACAGTGCTCAGGTCCTGAAGCAGTGACACCAGCAACATATGTTTGATATAGAAGCAGGTACTGTTCTGCATCTCATCACTCCTGACTTCAGATCTACTGATCTCTTAATAGTGACATGGGTCTGTGGCATAGGACAGCAAAGATGAGACATTTCTAAGAAGTTACTATAGATGTCTGCAATAAAAACATGTCAACAGAGCATACCTGAGCTCCTTCAAGCTTGACATGATTTTGCCTAGAAAGCCAAACACTACTTAGAACTTGAGGCTATTGTGCCTGCTTACAGTCAAACCTCACTTGAATAGTCAGTGACAAAACCTGATAGCTCTGTTCCTTGTATATACTCACCTGTACATAAACACAGCCACTGCCAGTTGCCTGCACTGTGTATGTCCCTGGGGCTGCAAGGAGAGATGCCTGATGCAGGACCAACTTGTTGTTCCTGTGCACATGGAACTCCAGTGGAGAAGACTCCTTGCCTTTCACTGTCACCTTTACATCTCTCGTCTCCTGAGGAATCAGGGCTGCATACTGAGCGAGGGCCTGCAGGCTAACCACTGTGTCCTGCAGGCAGAGAGAGAGTCACTTTGCTGCAGAGCCATGAAGTACAAAATCAAGCACACTGGGTCAGGCACTGCTGGGAGAACCACACTCCTCATGGCCTCTGACACAAGCAGGGTCTATGCCACTAAGTGTGTACGTAGGGTCTATATCTCAGGCAGCACTATGACTTCCATTACCTGGAAAGTGTGGCTGCTAAGCCCTGGGATTAGCAGCCCCAGGCCCCAGGTAGTCCCAATTACACCACACAGAAAAAGAGGTTCACTGTGGCATTCCCCTTCCCAAGCAGGGCTCATGTATGCCTGTCTGCAAAGGATGTATCTCGAGTTACATGCACGTGACAGATGTGCACATCACTCAGACACAGAATCTCTCTCCTTCCCCCATGAGTTTCCCTGGCTTGTTACCTGAGTGGAAGCAAATCCACCAAAGGCATTTCTTTGTCCACTAAGCCAGTGCACAAGCTTGCTCACTGAGGCTTCATTGAATGTCAAGTCTGGTTTAGAGACATGAGCCAGGAGGATGTAGGCTACTGTCTCAATCATAGAAGAAGAAGATTCTTCACTACTGGAATGTGGTGTCAGGAGCTCTTCTGATGGAAGGAGAAACATGTGAAAGAGAAGAACAGTAGTTCTCTGTGAACATCAGTTTCTCTTGCCCTGGTACGCTTTGAGGTCCGGCAGATTCCTGTAGACCATCAGAAAAACTTGTGCCTTTCTAGAGCACCTCAGAGTGCAGAAGACAATCCTTCCTGTTGTTTTTGTACTCTGAAGGGCCAGATATCTATAATAGGCTTCATTTCTTCCTTGAAAGCAGAGAGAGATCCACGCCCCAAATCCTCAACCAGTTCCTCTAGGAAACAGTTCCTCTAGAAACTGACTCTGAACAGAGGCTTTTTGTTTAAAGTACAGTCCTAGTCTTATTCAGCTCTGTGTATGTTCAGAGCTATGTCCCCAAGCTACAGCATTTCTGCTGTTGCTGCATTTACCTAGGAAGGATAACAGGGTTTCCTGTGCTGAAAAGCTCTAGGACTCATTTTCCAGTCAGTTGTATCTGTTGTACAAGAATTGGTCACTCTTTGAGGGAGAACTGCTGGCAGGTTATCGGAGGATCAAGACTATCCAACTTACTTTGTTGGCATCTTCACTATTCAGTGCATAGGCTAGGACAATTTAAGCTTGACGGGCTTGATGGGCTCCCATCTATGGTCCAAGCTCACAGTCACTGAATGGATCTAAGTCTCATTGAATGTTTTGCTATAGTGATAGTAGGGGACTACCCAAAACTCAGCTAAGAATTTAGCTTAATCATGCCAGTGTAGACATCTTCTGCAATGGTACAAACATGAAAACCTGAAATGCTTTTAAATTCAAAGTCAGTTTTCAGAACAAACCGTCACTTTGGAAATAAGAATCGCAAAACCACTTGTTCGCATAAAACCAGCATAAAGACACTAGAATTTAGCTCAGGGACTCTATAGACTGGTATTACTTCATTACATTTATCACAGTGGAAGGTTTTTACATGGTCTTGACTTTCAAGATGACATAAGTAGAACAATTTTTACATGAAGTGGTAGAAGGTGTCTTGGAGATGCAGCTGCAGATGACCTACAGATTAACCTTGATTCTTTCAAAAGCACCAAACTGCTGTTTGAGATCTGACTGTAATCCTGTTAGTGAGACTAACAAAATCCCACCCACCAGGCCACAGAAGGTGTATCTAGCCAGCAGAAGATAAGATAATCCTCTTGGGCAAAGATTCTCCAGCAGGCAAACTGGCTGCTTGTGGCTGCAGTCAGGTCTCCAGACTCAGACACATTTGAGCATGGAGGACACCAACTTTCCCTCACAACTCCATTGCTCTTGTCAAGTCATTGCTAACTTTTATGAGTGGAACTGAGAGCCAAAGAAAACTATTGCTTGACTCACAGGCAGTTTGTAATGTTCCATGCCCTAGGGCCTTAAGGGGACATTTCCCAAAGTGGTTGGTAAGTTAGAAGCATCAGACTGACAGGACACCAATGACAATGTGCTCCAGTCACTTGTTGCGTATGTACTGTCTCAGAAGCAGCTCTGAAAAAGTATTGCTCTCAGTGTGAGCACCACAACTCAAGTGAGTAGTTTGCACAAATTAAGCATTGGTTGCCGCTGCTGCTTTTTATTAGAAGTTGTTTCCCAAGTCTGAGAAATATAGAGACTTTCACTGCTTCAGTAAATTACCATTTTATGACACAAACCCCAATCTGAGAATAGTTAAATTTCCCAAACCACCATGATTAAATCCCACAGATACCAGGCCTTAAACACAGTCATTATCTCTAGAACACAAAATCTTCTAAACAGCAACAACCTACCTGTTTCCTTCTCTAGCATATCCAGGAGCTGTTCTCTCATCTCTGTGTCCTTGCTCAGTGTGAAGACATAAGCCATCAAGGCCTTGAGATAAAGGCTTGTTTGATCAAGTGTTATATTCTTGAGGCAACGTAAAGCATTATCCAGCATGGTGTCCTAAGAAAGGAATCCAAACCCAGTGAATTTCCTCTGACCACTTTTTGTTGTGAAAGTCTGCCCCCAGTCTTCAAGCATCCCAGCTACATCCTTGTATGTATTTCAGTGCTAGCATCTCTCCAAGGGCTATGGAACATGGAGTGGGCAAATCATCAATCCACATCAGTCACTGAGGGTTGAAAATAGACATGTGACTGAACATATCACTGGGGTGAGCGATTGTTAATACACTGGATAATCCGGCTGTAGGAAGTGTCTGGTAACACGTTGGCTCAGAACTGTCGGACCTGCTGTCAGGTCCAGAGAGGGCGTGACATTGTTTTCAGAACTGTGCTGGTAAGGCTGGAATATCAGCCCATCGCGGCTAGAAGTTCACTGCTTTTATTTCAGGTCTGAAGGAGGTGGGGTTGCATTCCTGAAAGGTATATAGCTATATTGGTCAGTTTAATGAAAATTATTGCCTCTCCCTGAAAGCCCTGAGCCATTTTCAGAGACAATTGCTTCCCCTGAGATCAAATGCTCTCCTTTTCTGCAGATCAGGCTGTTTATATTTAGAATTCCTTACCAAGTTAAAAATTTCCTGTTGAGCATATTATGTACAAAGGTGGGACATGACAGAACCTTTCACCAACACAAGCTGGGTACTCCCTGAAACCACAGACCTGGGGAGAAATGAAGGGTGGAGCATGCTCCCAAGCCCTGCAAGAGTTTGGATGTGACTTACATTCTTCTCCAGATCAAGCTCCACCAGCGTAGCAGTGATGTATGCTGTTAATGAGATTGTGTCGTCCACACCACCCTGCAAGTCCCACAGACAAACATCAGAAAGAGACAAAACCAACCCTTGCATGCCTGTCGTTGTATAGCCACTGAAAATGTCTAAGGATGGTGTATCTGAGGGAGTACAGCAGCATGCCTCTGGGCGTTCTTGGAGGATGGAAGGAAAGCACTCCAGACTCACTCCCTGAATATCAGGAAAGTCTGGTGTTGAGGGCAGCCTCAACACCATATTGGGCATACAGCCTAGGCATACCTTCTCATAGGACATCATGAAGCAAATTGTTAAGCTATTTATTTTATTAGATATGTTACAACTGGACACTTGAACAGAGTTTTTATGATGCAGAATTTGCATACAAGAAGCAATGCAATTTTACATACAATTCAGCTCACTGTGAGGAGCTACAAGTTAATATGGGTAAACAGTCTCTTTTCCCATCAGAGAACATTCATTCTTGGGTAAATTCTGCTTGCACCCCCAGTCATGAGACAAGACTACATCTAAAATTAGAGTGTACATTTGGGCTGAGAAGCATCATTCACGCTGAATAGCAGAAATTTTAAAGTGTAAGGAAGGTGAGAGCCTACACCTATTCCAAAAAGTTTGGTTCAAATAGAAAGCCCAAGCTGAGAAATTAGTAGAAGTTAGACAAGGATGAGCAGTCTACATGTATATTCTGGTTTTATTTTGTATAGCATCCAAAATTCAAGAAAAAAAATATAACCCTTTGCTTTGCTAAAATAACAGCCTGCTTTCTTTCATAAATCTACCTTGTATTAAACATGGGCAACTTTGCAATCTGACCAGTTTGGATTATTCTTACCTTCATAAAGACAATGAACCCAAGTATTGCCACACTGCATAAACACTGTTCGCTACCTGCGTACTAAGACATGTTCAACAAGAGTTTGATGCATTTCCAGATACACTGCAGAGATCATTTTGGGGATGCTAGGCTCCAGGAGAAGTCACACTTCTTGGGTGTTGGAGGGACAATTGTGTCCTCAGATAATCCCATGTTACAGTACATAATCAGGCCTATCTGGAGACTATTGTGCATAATAAGCCATGAAAAGAGGGAGAATCCAGCCAGGGTATTCTAGATAAGCACTAAAATGTAAAAATATTTATCCCTGTGCCCTTGAAGTGCCTTGGCACAATTAACTCTGGTGTCTTTTAGCTAGTGTAAAAATGAAGAAAGCCTAGCAGAGATTAAAACCTCGCATAGAGGAAATGCCTGCTGGTTTAGACCCCACTTTCTCATTCTGCTCCGGGAAGCTGCCTTGGCTGTGCTAGGCCATCGGGACATCACTTTGTGCTGTCGTGCACAGTGGTAGAGCCTGGGGAAGCAAACCCATGCCCCACATTGTGTTCCTCCCACTTTCAGCCCCATGTCTGGCAGCCATACCTTCAAGTCATTGTTGAAGAGCTTCCCCACGCTCTGGAAGCAGCCACTGGGCAGCTGGTGCTTCTGCAGCCAGAGCAGAGCATTGTGCACATGGTCCTTGTTGATGTAAATGTGGGAGCTGGCTTGTCCAAATGACCTAGCTACAAAAGCCGTCAGCCTGTGAGCAGAGCACAAAGGAATCCCATGTCACAGCCAGGTGCTGAACCAACAAGGACAATAGTTTTGGATGACAGTACCAAATCTGGCCACTCACCACGTGTTGCTCTGATTGTCAGCTTTCCCAAAGGCGCTGTAGGAGCCATCATCATGTTTGTAGAGCAGCTGACGCTGGTAACCTATGAAGACAGGTGCCAGGACACAACTCTCAATGGGAGGGCCTGTAGCATCTCAAACTGTATCTTTGCTGTGGGAAGAAGGCTTCACAGCAAGAGGCTTCACCAGGTCCTACAGTCAGAGATGCTGAGGCAAACCTATTACCCAACAATGCCTCATGCATCCCACAGCACCAGTGCGACGAGAAGCAGTTGCACAGCATCACTGAAGTGCATCGTGTGGCAGCTCTACATTACTAGAGCTGCTATGGGCAAGTATGGTGGGTATCTGCCCTGCTGGTTTGCAGAATGGCAACACGCTCACCCACCTCATATCTCCCCATGCCCCAGGGAACCCTCGTGGGCACCTTGCTGTGAATAAAAAGAGGTGTAAAAGTGAGGAGAAAGGCTTTTCCTCAGCAGGGAGCAATGTTAAATCCTGTTTGTTTTCCAGCATTTCTGCTAGCCCTGTTGAGACTCAAAAAAGAACCTTTTATGGGACGTACAAAGAGCAACAAGGCCATGCCTTTAAGCTCTGAGGGCAGAACACTGTCCACATCTGTTGGTTCTTCTTCCACCCTCCACACAGCCTCATTCTTTACCCTCCACCTTGCCCCTCTGCTGCACCATTCTCTTGGGTATGCACCCCTCTCCCAGATACCTGTCCTCAGTCACGGTACAGGAGAGAAAGGAGGAAAGAGAGAGAGTAAAATCCTATACATGGGAGGCTGCTGAACTTGCAGTGTAGATAAGGAGACCAACAGTCTGGAATGTGAGGCACATTGCAAAATGAGACACAGACACTGACACTTTATTAAATTCAGATTATATTGGACAGAGCTGACATGCTCTCACAATTCCTTAAAACACAGGGAAACACTAAGTTACCAAACTCTTCTCTATCCCCAAAGGCCATTTTTTTTTCCAATTAACAGCAGCTGATGACTTGATTCCGCAAGTGACTTCAGTCTGCCTTGGACTAATAAGGGAACAAACTACAGGCATCATGTAATGGTGGAGATCATTAATTACCCATACCCTTCTCAGAAAAGCAGGCTTAGTACCTAAATAACAGGCAGAGACAGAGGTTTTGCCTCTTCAGAAACACTCTTTTCCTTCCATGAGATGCTTCACTTATTCTCTGTGATACCTTCCTTTGTCACAGCTCTGACAGTGTTCCCACTCCTGCCCTGCACCTCCCCACCAGACCAGTGCCCCACACTCTTGATTTATAGCACCTTCATTTTTCAGCAGAAGCAAGAAAGACAATACTTACCTGTTTTCAGGAATTTCAGTGCTTTAGCTTCAATTTCTGGGTCCAGTTGCTTAGTCTTATTCAAATACTGGAGTATGAAGATGTTTGGTGCAAACTGAACCATGTTCTGTTCACCACAGCCAAAGGGCAACTCTAGAAGCCGGTCTAAATTTTGAAGTGCTGGGCCCATTATGTCCCCTTAAGTTGGAGGTGGAGGGGCAGGAGAGAGGAAAAACACAGACATTCAGCAGTATGAAACAAAAGGACTACAAACTTCTTTAAACTCTACCAGGATCATGGAAAAAAGCCAGCCCCTCACTGAGTGAAGATGATTAAGATTTCTGCTGACCCCTCCTAAATTACACCAGCACAGGAAGGGAAGACATCATGGTTCTGGGAGGAGATGGGGAATGTGAAGGTAAGGGGATCTGAAGAAACGTGAAGAGGATTGTCATTCTTAAGTGGGTATCAAGGAGGGAAAAGAACTATAGACACAAACTTGGTGGAAATCTGCAGAGATGGTTTTTGTTTACTTAGGTGGATGGCAGTGACAGATGTCAGAGGAGATACATCACTATTTGGGGATCACCCAGGATCATTCCTTACGAGAGGAATAAATATTGAAAAAGATTACTTGATCTGCATTTCTGAGGCCAACATCACACCCCTTACAGTTTATCTCATGAGGAACTGGGTCAATGCAGTGTTAAGACCAAAGCATTGTGTAAACTCTTCGCACTGTGGATCCAAGAGCAGGGGAAGCCTTTCTCACCAATCACAGAGAAAGTGGCTCGGCCAGATCCTTCTAGCACTTCTGCAGGCAGCATCAGGGAGAACTCTTCAGAGACTGTGTTATCTGAGGAAGGCAGAACCCAGAAATTTATCCCATGGAAGAAGTATCACACACAAGTGTAGCATCCCAAGGAGACCCAGGTGAGGCTCAGTGTGACACTGAGTCACAGCAGCCAAGACTTGCAAACAAACTCCTCAATACAGGAAACTTTTCCAGGTAGAAGACAGACATGGACAAACTATAGTGGTTGTTCTCCCAGGCAGGGATGGTGCCGCCCATGCTTGCTTTCTGACCAATTCCCCCCACCTCTGGGTAGTTGCAGTAGCCCTCTCCCTTCCATCCTGCTGTCAGGGATTTTTGTTCCATACCTGCAGCACAGAGAAAGGCATTTTGGGTCTTCTCTTGTAGGACACCTCCTGGCTGCAGATGGAGGAAGAGTAGTTCAGATGAGGAAGGCAGAAAAGGGAGTCAGCATGCCTCAGCAAACCTGGCTGCTTAGAAGAAAGGGCTAAACTTCCTTTTAGCATCTTGCTAAACTGCCTCAGGGGACAACCCGCTGTTCCCAGGTATTCTCCACCCTGAGGTCTGACTAACCTTCACAAGCAGGGGTTTTATCACCATGTCTCTCTCCCCTTTCAGAGGCGTCACAGCAATCCTGTTATCACACAGATAGTGTGAATCTTCTGCCACGCTGCTCACAGTGACATTCACTTTGCCTGTAAGAAGCACAGGGGCACATCACTGAGCACTTGTAGCAGACACCTGTACATACAAGCATCAGGATCAGACAGGCAAATCCCACCCCTCCTCCCGCTATGCTCCCTTTGCTCCACCTCACCCAGCCTGGTGGCTGTCACGTTCCACTCAAAGGTTTTTGCTTCATTGGCACAGAGGCAGCTGGTGAACTGGCAGCCTGGACAGGCATCCACCTTTAGTTCTGGGGTCTCTGTGAGGGCGGTGTGCACCTGAGTTTGGTGGAGTATACAAGCACACATTGGCATAGTGTTAGTACCAGGCAGTGCACAAAGGAGCAAGCATCGTTGGTCATGAAGCGTGAAGCTATGCTTTTTCGCCCAGATTTCAGTATCTAGGGCTCCTTAGAAGCTCATAGCTTGCCTTTGGGCTCAAGATTTTTTCTCTGACAGAGGTGTAAGATTCAGGGGTTATTCACCTGGATACAGTCCTTGAGGTAGTTGAAGACAGTGGCTTTTAGGCTGAAGGTCTCCCCTCGGATCACAGAGTATGGCAGTGACAGATCCACAAAGAAAGGTTGGAAGACCCTAAGAGTGGCTAGAGGAGAGAACCCAAAGCCGGTTTCAGCAACACAGAAGGTATTTGCATTCCACTCTGTGATAGTGTCGGGTACAGCAACTTGGAGAGACGCTTGCCCCTCATCCCTACAGCAGGAAGGGAGAGAGGAGAACTTGCTCAGAAGTAGTCAGAAGTCTCCAGAGGTCTCTCTGTGGAAGGCAGGTAGAGGCTGTTACTAACCCAATGGAGACCAAATCCCAAATCCAGGTCTCTGGGAAAAGTGTCCGTGGTTTTGGCTTCTTCGTGTCATCAGAATGAGGTGTGGAGTCACCATGGCCAACATGATGTTCTGCAGAAAAGCAGGTGATATATCAGAAAACAGCATATGTAGCTACAGATGAAATTAGTTCTTTATTCACAGACAATCTAACACAAACTTTAAATGCTTCATGACACAGAACAAGAGTGGACAGGGTTGGCCTTTCAGTGAGAAGCTGACGTGTCTGTGTCTTTGGGGAACACAGCTTCAGGGTGACAGAGTTGGATGGAGTTTAGTCTGAGGCTCCATCTGCCAGATCCAGCAAGTTTGGTCTGGATCCAGGAGGAGACAGCATGCTCAAATGGAGCCATGCTCTTTTAAATAATCCATGAAAGTGCTGGTGGAGCGCATACTACATTTTTTGTGAAGAGCGCAGAACACGGGGACAGCCAATAAAGGACAGAGATTTGAGCTTCTCTCTGTGATTCATAAATAAGATCCATTGAACTGGGCACAAGCTTTGTTCCTCTCATATGCAAACAATAAATACAGCAGGACTGAGGACAGCTGTTTCAGCTGCAGGCTGGCCAGAACTGGGAGAGGAGAGTCTTTTCAGTCAGGGAGATGGACATGTCCATTCCTTACCAATAGCATGGTGTTTTCCAGAATACATCTTTTTCTCAAAGTCTGGTCGCACACAAGAAACTGGTTTCTTGACTCTAGTATTAGTTAATATTTTCATGCGCAATTTCTGGGGAAACAGTGAAGAGATTAAATCAACGATAAATGAAGAATGTTGAAAATACCTCATAATAGCAGGTATTCTTGCCACTTCCTCTTTGTAGACATGGTAACCTAAACTAAGTTTGTACATTTTTACACTCTCTTTCTCTAATCAGGTGGTTTACACGATGCTTACTCCTAAGTTTCATCTTTTCCCATAGTCCACAAACGAGTATGGCTACACTGAAGAAGAAGGCACAGATGACTTGTAGCAATGAAAGTCAGGGCAGCTGAAGTTTGCTAAAAGTAAATTCTTGTGGGCATTCAGGATGGCAACCACTTGCTCAGGAAAAGTTTGGTGGAAGTGTAGAGACTCACTTTAAACAGATTAAAGACATCAGCTTCACTTTGATACCATGGTGCTCCCATCTTTTTGTGCAGACTGGGCTGCTGGGGCAGACAAGGGTATGCCTCAAAGTCTTCCAAGTGATAAGGGAACCCTCGTCCTCCAATTGTAAAGCCGTAATCAAAGATCTTATACAGCTGCAATGGAAAAACAGAGGTTTTCCTAAGGAACTGGCCAACAAGTATATGGATGGGTCAAATATTTGGGTTGTAGCCCATTATTACACTTTGTAAATCTTTGCAGTTGAGGAAGCTGGCACTGGCCTTGCTTATACTAAAGGACATGAAGCCCAAGGAGTGGAAGTAGGCAAGCAGCTTTCAGTCTGCAGACTTTCAGCTCTGACAGTTCAGGCCTTATAACTGCAGAGTGCAAAATTAGGATAAAAGCACATGATTCAGTCTAAGCACAAGGCACTGGCACATCTGACTTACATATTTAATGATTACTATGTCATATACCTGTTAGTAGATGATGCAAGTGCTCCGTGCTAGAACAGCACTCCTGTAAAAAGGAATACCAGATCACGCTGTGAGTCCCACCTGCAGGTGCAGCAAGTCCCCCTGGATTTGGTGAGGCTTCTTTGTAACAGTCTGGCCCACTAAAACTTAACTTAAAACTTTGCATGAGGCATATACATGTGCATTATCTCTGGTATACCTCTTGTGTAAGTATGTTAGAATTTTCAATTCTTGCAGTATTTTTGTTTTAAGTCTTAAATTAGTTCTTCTGAAACACACAGCTGCTTTAAGGTAAGTTCCTTCAAGCCCTCTAGATTCTCAGAAGTCATCTGGGTGCCAACAAAGTCCTTTTCACCAGCCATGGTGTGTGCTGGGTGCTGTCCCCTAGCTATTGTTTTCTAAAGACCTGCTCAGGTGCTCAGCCTGATCTATCATACGATTATATTCAGCAATGTTTTGGGGTAGAGGGATAGGAGGACCCTATGACAGGGGCAAAATTAAGTTTCAAAGGTTCAGCCTCTTTGCCTTCTGGAAAATGGAAGAGCAGAGATGGTGGATGTGAGGAAAGCTGCTAAGCACCCTCCCTTCAAGCAGAAACCACCAGCATCTCTTTGAAGCTGCTCTCCCTGCCTACACCTGCAATGCCATGAAGTGTCTGCTGCTGGGTCTTTCCAGGCAGAGGTCCACAGTGCAGGGCAGGGCAGGGCAGAAGGAACATGATCCCCACCTAACAGCTCAGAAGAGGCTGAGGAGGAGGAATGCCAGGGCAGCCACCTAACATTGCAGCCATGTCCTGAGATGGACTATGGGCTTCCTCCTACCCATGCGTGGAGACCAAAGGCAGGCACGCACTAAAGGGTTGGTCATGGCAGGCTGCAGGCTGCACTCACTGTGTCTGCTGTTAGGGTGCTGTTCTCCTCCAGGAGGACACTCTTGTCCACAGCTCGGATGGAGCACAAGGAGCCTGGAGCAGCCTTGAGGTCCAGACTGACTTTTGACCCAGGGACTTCCTCCTTGTGTGAGAAGTCCAGTGTCACCTGTAAAAGAAGACAGGTTCAGGGGGCTTACCGCTGGAGAGGGGGATGCTGTGACTCTTAGATGTCTGGCTAGCAGAGGGAAAGACAGAGAATAAGGTAAGGAAGAGGCTGAGATGGTGAGACAGGCTCTCCTTGGAAAGGTTGTGGGAGCTGCAGTACATACGGCTCAGCCAGAATTCCCGTACCACCACACATTCATCACCCTCTGATCCAGGGAGCTAAGCAGGCAGACTTCTCTTTTGTATGAGGGAAAACATGGGGGACAGTATGTTCCACTCAGCCATGGGGAGTGAGGAGAGAAAACAGAGTTCAAGGGGGGCTGGTTTACTCCTCAGGAAAGGCTTGCCAGCTGGTGTTGGCAAGGGCAGGACTAGGAATTCAGGGAAAAAGGAGGTTACCTGTTTTGTTTCCCAGCTAGAAATACTAGGCATCTGGTTTGCCATATATCCAGCTTACATCATGTGGCTGAGGATGTAACAGGTCCAGGAACCACAGCAGGCCAGAGCACATCAGTGATGCTATAGCACTCCTTCTATTTCTACTCACCTTGTGTCTAAAGCACTTTTCTACTTGAAACTCTTCAATATCAGCCACCACCTCTCCATCCAAGAAGACTGCATACAGTAGAAGGTTGATGTCAGGCAGGAAGTCATCGCCAACAGTCAGAGTCAGTGAGAAGGAGCCCTGCAGATCTGCATAAGAGAGCAGCAAGGAAGAAAGGGAGAGCATTCAATCGAATCAGCTTATTGGAGTAGGGCACACAATAAGAATCAGAAAAGGGAAATTAATAATTTCTACCTGCAGGTAAGAACATTCCACACACACTGTCACAGATTAACAATAAACCCAGGACGCTGGCCACTTCTTTGGCTCAAGGTTGGCAAATATATTCCTCTTCCCCACTGCACCTTAGATAAACAGGCAAGCTACACAAATTTTGTATCTTCTCCAAAAACACAAGCTAGCAGCAAAGTCATACAGTTGGATCAATTAGACAAAGTAGGAGAAGGACAGTCATTTAGAGGACACTGAAGTGATATGAGTGGAGACTGTGTTGGTCTAATGAGGTGGATCACCACTAAGAACTCAGTTCAATAGCTCCTGCCTGTGCATAAGAATAACGTTGGCAGAGTCTGTGATGGGAAAGCCATCACACTTTTCTGGGGTGTGTAATGAGACACTTCATGTGATTCTACTCACCCTCATGATGGAGAATTGGCACCTGCTTCTCACCACTGAAAAGGATCTTGCCTTTTGCTATCACCTGAAGAGCAAAGAGAAGAGCCATTCAAGGTCCTGAATACTGATGGCATGAGGAGAGTAGGAAAAGAACAAAAGAAAAAAAGAAAAGGACATCTGACATGTTGTCACAGAAGATCCTCTGGCAGAACATGACCTAAAGAGCTCTGCAGCAGAGATGGCGATAACGTAGCTGGGAAGGAACTTAAGAGGTGTTGGTTAGGCAATGACAAGACGTGGCCACTTACAAAGGCAAAGGTACATCTGGAGCTAAAAGCAGCTGCTCTTAAGCTCCAGTGAACTCTAATCTTCACATTACTAGGAAACAGTACTTTTTGACTATACGAATGAGCCCAGTTCAGCTACCAAGATACCCATAACTTCTCAGCTAGGCTGTAGTTGCACTATTCCTTTGGACTTACTGTCTTGAAAGTTGACTTCATAAAAAAATGATTATGTACCTTTGGAGTGCATCACAGGTCTTTGAAATTTCAAGCCTTTTCCTGTAAATACACAGGTCAGTGGAGGTCAGCTGCCCCAGAGATTGCCTCTTAGTTCACAGACAAATTGCCCCAGACAAAGACAGAAGTCTGAGGCATACCTGCGGGGCAGAAACCAGGCTAGTACTCCACTGCCACTCATGTGAATATAATAGAAAGTAGAGTGGATCACAGAATCATAGAATGATTTGGGCTGAAAGGCACTTTAAAGATCATCCAGTCCAACCCCCCTGCCATGGGCAGGGACACCTCCCACCAGACCAGGTTGCCCAAAGCCCTGTCCAACCTGGCCTTGAACACTTCCAGGGAGAGGGCATCCACAACTTCCCTGGGCAACCTGTGCCAGTGTCTCACCACCCTCACAGTAAAGAATTTCTTCCTAATATCTAATCTAAATCTACCCTCTTTCAGTTTAAAACTGTTACCTCTTGTCCTATCACTACATTTCCTGATAAAGAAACCCTGCCCATCTTTCCTGTGGGCCCCCTTTAAGTACTGAAAGGCTGCTATAAGATCTCTCTGGAGCCTTCTCTTCTCCAGACTAAACAGCCACAACTCTCTCAGCCTGGTCTCATAGAGAAGGTGCTCCAGTTCCTGATCACATTTACAACCTTCCTATGGACTCATTACACGTCCTTCTTACGTTGGCGGACCCAGAGCTGAATGCAGTACTCCAGGTGAGATTTCATGAGAGGAGAGTAGATAGGGAGAATCACCTCCCTCGACCTGCTGGTCATGTTTCTTTTGATGCAGCCCAGGACATGATTGGCTTTCTGGGCTGCAAGTGCACATTGCTGGCTGATGTTGAGCTTTTCAACAATCAACATCCCCAAGTCCTTCTTCTCAGCGCTGCTATCAATCTATTAGCTGCTCAGCCTCTGTGCTTGGGATTGCCCTGACCCATGTATAGGACCTTGCACTTGGCCTCGTTGAACTTCATGATGTTCACATGGGCCCAACTCTCAAACCTGTCAAGATCCGTCTGGATAGTATCCCTTCCCTCCAGTGTATTGACCACACCACTCAGCTTGGTAGTGCAGACATTTGTTACCCAAGCTTAGGTCAAGGCACTCCTAACAAAGCAAAGCAACTGGGGTCTAGGAGCAGGTCCAGGAACTGGAAAACAGGAGGAGGTCTGGGCAGAACAGAACTCACAAACTGACTTATACTGGCCTGGGACTAGCTTATGCCTTCTTGTGAGTATCTATGTGCTGTGTGAAAAGGGTAAAACGCCAATAAGCACAGTCTTGCCCTGAGATTCAGCTGTCTTCTGTGCTTACCAAGTAGTAGAAATCAATGTGGTCTGCTTCAGAGCTGAGTTTATTCCGGTCAAGGATATAATCCACTTGAACTTCCTGTTCTTGATTGCAGGGCAGCACACCACTCCTGGCCTTGATCTCAAGAAAGCTGTTGCTCTCAGAGTAGAAAGGTTTCAGCCAGTGGAAGCTATCCTGTAATTCCCTGTCACTTTCAGAATCATTCTTCTCACTGTCACTTCCAAAGTAAGAACCCTTCAGAGAACAAAAACATGAGTTGGCAATCAGTATTAAGTGATACAAAGGAGCTGTGCACCTGCTGAAAATACTGAGTTATTAGCTGAGCTGATGGCAGACCACACATCTGTATGTTTAAAATATTCTTTTGTTTAAAAGCAATTTTAAAGTTTTTCATGAGACTTTCTCTTATGAAGTTTTAGCAAAAATCTAAGTACAGTAGATTTGCCCTCAATCTCATTTTCCTCCTTTGTCTTTCTATGGGGACACACCCCACACTAGACTTTAATTCCAGCACAGCACCCTTGTTTCCAGATTATCTTTCTGGTCAGATTACCTGGAGCACAACAGGCAGCAAAACAGCTTTTGTATGGTGAAGCTCCACTTCTCTGCAGATAATTCAGGACTCTGTGAACAATAGCCATGGGCCTAGGTACAAGAACTAGAGCCTGTTCCCAGCAACTAGAAGTGGAGTTCAGCAGAGACAAGTATCAACTGCCAGTTCTGCTGAGCCACCTCCTGCAAAGGGGGAATTTCCTCCCAGGAAGTGTTCAGATTAACAGGTGTTTTTACTGGAGTCAAATCACAGAATACTAGGAGTTGGAAGAGACCTCAAAAGCTCATCCAGTCCAACCCCCCTGCCAGAGCAGGATCACCCAGACCAGGTCACACAGAAACGCGTCCAGGTGGGTTTTGAATGTCTTCAGAGAAGGAGACTCCACAACCTCTCTGGGGAGTCTGTTCCAGTGCTCCGTCACCCTTACAGTAAAAAAGTTTTTCCTTATGTTCACATGAAACTTACTATGCTCCAGCTTGCTCCCATTGCCCCTTATCCTATCATTGACATCAGAGAGAAGAGCCTGGCTCCTTCCTCCTGGCACTTGCCCTTTACAAATGGAAAGGAGGAAGGTGAGGTGGGATACGAAAAACTAGGATCATGCTCCAGCTCAGGACAGCATAACACCTTTAGTGACCATTTGGCTGAACTGTTGCAGCACAGCCCCCAGTTTCCCTGAGGCACTGGAGAGTAATTAAAGATGCTTCTACAGATACAGTCAAATGAGACCAGGAACTAGAGGACTGTGCTTCAAAGCCTCATATTTCATCCACCTTCTGTCCCTTTCCTTAGTCTGCCCTCACTTTATCCTCCTTTTTCTGTGGCTGATGCTCACCTTCAGAGAAACCAATGTGCTGTTCCAGCTGGTGGTATCCAGTGAGAAGTCAACTTCCCCATTTTCATCTGTGAGGAATGACAGGTGTGTCTCCTCATCATTGACATCAATGGTTAGGTAGACTGTTACATTTCTGAGAAGAGAATCATAACTGTGGCAGAATATCTGCAGAAAAGGGGAGAAAGTTAAGACTCCATTGTGCCACACTCCAAGTCACTGCCCATGCTTAATATTCATTCCTTCTATCATTTGACTTCCTCACCCCTTCTAGTTTTCAGACAGATTGGAATGATTCAAATAAAATTGCAATAAATACACAGAACCAACAATGTGCAGCTGTTCAGGGCCAGAAATAAACAGTAGTGCAGTCAAATGAGGCACCTATATTGGAGGGGAAAGGGTAATTTCGTCTGATCCTGGGCTTTTCCTTGGACAGTGTTGCAGGATCCCTGATGATCAGAAACAGTCTTGTCTCCAGCAACTTTTGCTGTTTCTTGCACTCCTTCATGCTGTGGTTAGTACTGGCCCAGGTGAAATTGTTTCTAGCCCCAATGGGACAGCAGTCCTAGTACTGCCCAGGGGACTTGAGCCAGAAATGACTGCCAGTGAATCAGTATACAAGGCTTTAGTGATTTTTGCCAAGTTGGCAAGAGCATTTGTCTGAAGGAAATGTTATTTCCCTGCCAACACCACCCCCATCCCACATGCCTTTTATTGCACAGACTAGTTTCAGGAGTTACTCCTCAGGAAGCCTCCAAAGACTGCAGCTGGCCCCAGGATTTTCAGCCAGGAAATACAGTAGGGCAGGATGAGGAGAAGAAATTGTTCCTACAGAAGGCTTCAATCATAGTTGCTGGGTACCAGCAGAGCAGCACTTAGTTTCCTGGTGACTGTTACTTTCTGCCTACAGAAGATTAGCCCTACAATGATGACTTCTCAGCAGAGAAGGGATCCATGGGTGTTACCTTCCCTGTGTATGGTAGTCCACGTTTGTAGAATGAATGGAAGTTGATAAAGTCTATAGACTTCACTCTCGTTGCAATAGGAATTCCAGACTCTTCTGCAGTCTTTGTTCCTGGGCGGAGAGATGAGAAATCTGTTAAAAGCTAGCAGTGCTCTCAGGGAAGCAGAAGTCAAGAAGATGCTTCAACACTACCTGCAACACCTACAACCTTTAAATTTAGGAGAGAAAACACATTCTCCTAGGATATGATTCCCTCAACCTTTCTGACCCTCTGCTTCATGACATGATGTATTGTACCCTATAAGTACTTGTTTCTCTTTATTGAAGATAAAGAGAAACTAGGTGGCTGCTTATAGACAGCTACACTGTAGGTACCTAAAAATGGCCTGGAGGACCCCATCCACAGTGTGACAGTTCAAACAGTGGACACCTCCAGTTGCCAGAGCTAGGAGCACATTAGCACTGATTCTGAAAACCAACCTCCTTTTAGTCAATACTGTGTCAGACTAAAAGGAAGCAGCATGGGACTTCTCTCAGCAGGAGTGTGCATAAGCAGCCCTGCCTAAGTCTTAGGAAAAGAGAGGACAAGACACCATGAGTAGGGACTGCCTGTCAGGATGTCACCTCAGTTAGCAAGAGCTTGTTGCAGACTTTTCCATCACTAGCCAGGGCTTTGGTGTCCAGACAATCACTAAAAAGTTATATATGTGCTAGTGGGGATGAAGGGTTGAGAGGATTAGGAAATCCGGTAATAATAGATCAAAGATGTACTAGAATAGAGACCATAATCATGCCAGAAGACCTGGGAACCCTCAAGTTTCTCTTTGAAAAGCAATTGAACTGCCACAGAAAAGCCAAAAACAAAGAAGTTGCCTGCAAGGAAGAGGACCCTTCACATATTCTCCAGTACCTGTTCCATCTTCCACCATTTCTGCAATCACAATTATGTGTTTATCAGTTTCATCTAATTTCAGAGTCTCTGTCTTCACTGTAAAAGTAGTGCAGCCATCCTTGTTTGCCTGAAGAAAGAGAGATATGAAAAGAGAGAAAGAGAAAGAGAATGGTGTGGAGGAAGAGGAGCTGTTTCACAGATGCTGGGCAACCCTAAAGGAGTGTTTCCAAATACTTGTGGAACAGATGGAAGTTTAAATACCTGTAATGCAGAAAATCATCATGGATACCTTAGCTGGAGAAGAAAATCAACATGCTTTGATTAAACAGTCACCAAAAAAGTGGCAAAAAAACATGCTTCAGGCAAATCACGTAAGAGTTAGTTATGTCACACACAAACTCAGGAGACAGTATTAAGCCCAGATGCTGCAGCTGAAAGAGCATGGATGTCTTTACCTAAACTAAGGATAGCCTCCTCCCCAAAGCTATATGACCCTGATGAATAAAGCCTGACATTGTGGCTTTCCAGTCATGACCCTCTCTGTGACATGGCCATGTTAAGAAGGGCATCCAGCCAGTTACAGAGAGTGGGTACAGCCAGCCTGCCAGAGAGGGGAGGTGGCCAAAGTGTATCTAGTCGAGCCTGCTAAGTTCTACAGAAAACCTTGCAGGGCCTCTTACTTGCCATGTGAGAGGGAGCTGGCACTCGGTGTTTTTCACAGCTAAAACTGTACAGCATTCCATCTGGAGATATTTTGCTACTGGGTGCATTTTAAAAGATGAAGAGATCCAGCTGGATTTTTATATTCTGGCTTGTTGCTGTCTGGTCTGACATTTAGAAATATTTTCCTGTGACTTCCAGGCTGAAAGAGCTGCATCTGAAAGCCAAGGGAAAAACCAACTGTGGAGCTTAACCACAAACATATAATCAACATAAATGTGCAGAAAATGTAATCAGCACTGGACATAATCTCAGCAGGACACTAGCAAGTTTAAGATGATCCACTAACTGCATGGATACAGCAAAAAACAAGGCATTAAGTCACAGACCATCCAATAGCCTGTTTATTGGTGGGAGCGGTCACAGGACTGAAGAGACCAGTGATCTGTCTGCATACAATAGGCCCCAGGCATCATTACTTACACAGAGCTTACACCTTCTGAAACACTGAGTCAGACATGGGCAGCTAGAGCAGTAATTCAAGCAATAGAACCACAGGAAGAGGAATCAATGGTCTGATCAGGTCTAGCAAGCATAAACAGGTTGGTGCACATACAGACATAGATTCCCAGTAGGTTTTACTTTCCACTCTCCTATTTGTTTACCTACCCGGCTGGTTTGCTCCCTCTTCTCAGAAGAACTTGATAAATTGTCTTCCAAGAACTCGGCTAATGTGGTCAAAGTAATATCTATTTTCCCTTGAACGGGCTTCCCATAGGTATACCTGTGTCAAAGAGGAGAAACATTCACCTGAAGACTGGCCACTTCAGCAGAAATACTGATCCAGGCTATCCCCCGCCCTCATTGTGGGTGAGTTTTGTGCCTCATCTTCTCAGGAACTTGAGTTTATCTCTTAAGATCAGTTTGCATCCCTCTCCACCCAATATACCCACCATCCTTAGTGTACTTCAGCCTCACAATAAATGACCAGGTGCAAGAAGAACCCCGTTCCAGAGAGAGATCTGGCTCCCCGAAATACATGGCCATGCAAGAACATCATACCAGAAGGTCAATTCTCAGCTACGGACAACCTGAAGATGTCTCTGGAGTTGAAGGCCAGACATGACAACAGTATTATGTACTCACTTGCCACAGACCTTCATCTGAAATTCCTCATCCGCTGTAGCAATAAATGGAGGGTGCTCAATGGTTATTTCAATTTTTTTCAGCACTGCATGGAAGAGAGGAAGGGTGGAGGAAAAAAATTATACTTAGTATGGGCACTGACTGTAAGTTCCACTATAGTTACAGTCCATATGGGGGAGAGACAATAATGTCCTCAGTTATTCACCACCATGCTGCAATAAGGGTTACTCTCTTCAGCCACACTACCCTCTATTTGCTGCTACAATTGCAGATAGGACTGCTTCTTCTCCAGCTCAAACATAAACATTTTAAACAGCACAGGGTTTTGTCCTTACTTACATCACTGCAACTGAAGGGGACTAAGGCATGATGCTGCTTCCTATTATGGCAGCTGACTGGAGAGGACAGTAAACTTAGCTTGGAAGAGGGTGACAATTAGCAGCAGAAAGTGCTCATCACAGGTCCCAGCTGCACATAGAACAAGATGTCACCCCACAGCCTCTCCCTTGTGCGCTATGCACCTGCAGAACCTCCTTCCCAGCACAAGATGTGTGCACAGATCCATCTGTCTCTGTCCTGTCTGCTGTTCTCCCACAGCAAAAGGTCTGATGAACATGGCCTCATCACCCTGTCCTCTTCTCCAGCTACCCACACTGCTTTTCCTTTACTGTTGTTGTCCAAGTCTCACCATATTCATCAACTTTGAAGACTTTTTTAGCCATGTTTTGTTCCACTGAGATGATATAATTTCCAAGGGGTGCTTCAGATGCCAGGGGGAAGGACAGATCCACAATGCCATTTCTTGACGTTACATTCTGCCACTCAGCAATACGGTTATATTCAGGATCCTATTTGGGAAAGGACATACAGAGCCACCAAGTCACGCTGAGAGCATGGGTACTTGGCAGGTCCAGCCAAACTCACGCACAAGAAGGTGCTACAAGGGCTTATCCTTGCCCTAGTAGGGAGGATGCCAGATCACCAGGCAAGATTCCTTCTCCTCCCTCCAGTACCCTTTTACTGAACTGCTGAATTGCAAAGGCTGCCAAGAACAGTAAAGCTACAGGAAAGTGGTAACACCATAACACTGCTGGAAGGAACAGCAGCTGTGCTGCATCTACTGAGGTGTGGGGCAAAAGTTCCTTACTGCCCTGCCTCTAGCTCAGCTATGTACATCACAGGGGTGCTGGTTTGAATGAAGAACCCAGGCTGACCAGGTAGAAGAGACTTCAGCTGAACCTGAATCATAACCATAATCTTATGAGGTTACATTTGCAGCACAACTCTGTCCAGGAGTGAAAGGGTGCAGTAGAAGAGACAGACGTCTCCTTCCGGTCAGTTCTTTGTCACTTACCTGCAGCCATATCTGGGAATACTGTAAAAATGAGAGAAACACAAGCTCAGTTTTGTACAGAGCAAAACAACATCCATGTTAATCAGTATTAATACCACTGCCTGATGTGGGCCCCTGACCAGAAAGTTTTCCCCCATACAGACCCCACACCAGGTCTCCTCCTCCCCCTGTGTTAGCTTACATTGCAGTCTTTCTCCAGGGGGGGCAGTGAATGAGTGTTTTCCCTTCAAAGATCGTTTGTTTCTTATGGTTTAAAAGGCATAAAGGGAGATGTCTCTTTCATGAGCCTCTCAAAGTGTCTCACGCTGAGGTTCTTAATTCTAGAAAAGCACAAGGTGATACTCACCTGATTTTTAATGACCTTAAGGTCGTCGTTAAGGTTCACAATTCGAAATTTCACTGGAGGTGTAAAGAAAAGGATAGTAAAACACTCTGGCAGCAACATGTCCTTGCACAAATCTGCTTCTCTTTTTCTGTGCTCCATTTTTCATGTCTCTGTTTACCTCAGAGGCATTCAGGTCTTTCCCCAAACAGCCCTCCCCAGCATCTCCCACCCCAGAGGACTTCATCTGGGAGGTTTATATGCAGCTGTGGGCTGTAGAAACTCACTGTCTTTACCTGGAAAGGTTACAATGATGTGCTAAACAGTGAGGTAGGTCTATCAGTAGTCTGCTCATATTGTGAAGACTGAAGTAACTCTCAGTATTGTAACTTTCCAACTCTGAGCAGTCATCAATTCAGTGACTCTAGTCTTTACTCAAATATACTCAACAGTCTTAAAAAAACAACAAGTGATTGTCAAGCATCCTGGAGAGTCCTGGCTTTCCTTTTAGGTCTCACTAGAGATACCTCACCAAAACAACACCCAGGAGTTGCAGGCAGGGCATGTGGTGCAGCACAGGTCCAAGGGGAACATCTGACCTATACTGTTCCTGGAAACATCTGATAATAGAGATCTGCTTTCTTCCATCTCCAACAAGCTTAGCTTGCTGCACTTGATGAAACTTCCCCACCTAGACATGACTGCTACCTTGACCCTTCCCTCCCCATTTCCATATGCCACCTCCTTGCTCACCTGTTTCTCCAGGTTTGTATAAGACTTTGTCTGTTTCTACCAGAATTATATTCTTCTGGGGCTCGACCAGAACCTTCTTGCGACCCTCAAAGACCACACTGCCTCCACTGTGGATCAGGACATGCAGAAAAACCAGCTTCTCTGTCTGTCAGGATTGAAAAAAAAAACAAAAAACCAACAAACTACCTGAGACTACAAACGGCTTGAAGGAGAAACAGAGGTGCCTGTTCTACCGAAATCTTCAGCTTCCCTCTCCTCCCTTCCCCTTCCTTGAGTTAGCTCGCTCCTTTCCCTAGTCATAGTTTCTCTGTGCTCCCCGGTTTCATTATGCTCTTTTATTTGCCTTTCTTCTTGCCATGTTTGCCTCTTCCCATGTTTTTTTCTCCGCTTTACTGTCTTTCCTACACTGCATCTCCAACATTAACATGGCTCAGACACAGGAGACACTGAAGCCCTCTAGTTTGTAAGAGGAGAAGCAGACAAGGGAGGTGTCTTACTTGTGTTGTGGAGTCCTCACTTTTCCTGGGAATGAACTCTGGCACCTAGGTTGATTGATATAAGGAAATGGAAAACAAATTCATTAGAGATTTTGCACCTTATCCCAGAGGTGAGTTGTCATCTCACTGTCAAAAAAATACCCAAAATTCAGAGTCCAAATACCACTGCATGACTTTGTCTCTAATCTACTTGTCATTATAAGGAGAAGCAGCAGTCACTGCCTGTCTCTTGTTCATGAACCTAAAGGCAAACCAACTGACATGTAATTCCCCTGCTTCACATAAATATGAGATTTTTATCAAACCAAGAAAAAACAAAGTCAGATCTGGAGCTAACCAAGACAATAGTGGGAAATGATCAGGATAAAACGTGGCTTTCCAGAGCCAGGACTCATTCTCTCCTAAGGACTAGCACCAAGCAGTTAATCATTGTCCTGTTGATGCAAGAACCTCCTTGAGTTCTGTCAAATCTGCAGGACAGTCAGGGCACAGGCACAGCAACTTTCTGTGGTGCTGAGGAAGACAGGTAGAGCCTCAGCACCAGACACATCTCCATGGCTCTCCAGAAACGTAACTGAAGGTCCTGTAGTCGTGCCCCAGCCTCAGTGTGTCTAGTTCAGCTAACTAGAGAAGTAAAGTTGTGATGACAGGAACTCAAACCACCCAAGAAATATCCAGACTGCCTCGGTGAAATTCATTTCACTGTGGGCTCAGTGCTATCACCACCAACCACAGCTAAATTAAAGCAAGCTCAATGTCTATGCAGGCTGCAATCACACCTTGCGGTACAGATGCAGCTTTAGAGGACACTGGATTTTGTCTGGCATTGGTAGAGAAATACACTTAACCTGCTTGCATATGACAAGGCAAAGAACAGTGTGCCCGCAGAAGTGACATGAAGGTGAGAGCATCCACTGCTAAATCGGCAGCCACATCAACGCTCACCTGGAAGGTGATGCACTGAAAAGTTCCTGGCTTCTCCACATCCTGTTCCACCAGTGTGTGGTTCTGGGTTTTCACCTCCAAGGTGATGGTCAGGTGGACAGCCTCAGTCAGGGAGCTGAAGTGAATGCAGAGCTTCTCCTCTTGGAAATGGTAAATGACAGCAGGGAATACCACAATATAGTGACTAGAAGAGAGCAGGATATGTTCAAAAGCAAATCAGAGGCTGAGGTGGACAGGCCAGAATCCATCTCTGCTGCTTTCATGGAGAGGTAGATAAAGGGCCAGAAATGTCTGGAGGCCTGCAGTGAAAGAACTATGATGCAGCTCTCTTTCCATACCAGAAAGAAACAGCATGCCCAGTGGGGAATCAGAGGGCTCCTTGTATCTGTGACTACCTTGCCACCAGCCAGGACACAGATGCCCAGTGTACAATACTCTAATTGACAACAAGGCCCCCACCATTCAGCTCTGTGATGCTAAACAATGTGGTACCTCAGCACCGCCTTTCACCAAGCCCCCCCGAAATCAAAAGGAGATATCTCACGGTTCCAGACTTGCTGCAGCTGCGACTGGGAATAGGGTCAGGGCTAAGAGGAGCACTGGCGCTCTCATTGCTTGGGCTGGAGCAGACAGCTGATGAGATCCACACAGGAGGAGAGAGCTGCCTGAACTGATGGGCTGGAGCAATCCTAAATACAGATGCTCCTAGGTCCAAAGAGTGACGAAGTTGATATATGGAGGTAATATCTCTCCCAGGCTAACGACATTAGCTAATATTTACTTGCTTTCACCAACAACAGGGTAAAGGCCACAGAACACAGTTCTCCACCCACATCTACACTCAGATGATATTCCAGGCCATGGGGTGCCAGAGCACTGGGGGGAGATGTGGGGTAGGTGACCTCTAACCCATGCCAAAGGGGACTTAGAAGAAACACTCCTCTCAGCTATGGCTGGCCCGGACCCTGGCATCCGATGACAGCCAAAGCTGCACACCAGCTACTGTCCTCAGCTTCTAAAATGCATCCTCAGTACACAATCTGTGCATCATTAGTGATCCTCTCCTAATCAGAGCTTGGAGTAAAAACCTTTCAATTCATCTCCATTCCCTGCATCACTACCTCTGTCCACCCATCCATCCTAGCGATGTCTAATCCTCCTGGGGGCAGAACCTTTTCCAGGGCTACTCCTGCCACCCACTGCCAACTCCCCTCATAGCTCCACTGTAAGCCCTTTCCAAATAACACAAGACATTTTTAGTTCCCACATACTTTAGCAAACCTCTACTTTACATCTCCTCGGGTCAGATGTCTGATCTTCTGGCAGCTTCCTGCAGCCATAAGGTAGTTCTACACTGACACCACCACCCATCTCCTCCAGACTCTTCTCAGGCACCGCATCCTTGTATTTCCTTTTCCTGGGTGTCAGCAATGAAGTGAGTAGGGCTTGGATGTATTTTCCCTCTAGTTACAATCTCATTTGAAGGTGTAAGTCCTCATCCTGCCCTGGCCCCAGTGGTGTTTTTGCAGAGCATACCAAAGGTACACAGTACAGAGGGAATTTGCCATCCAGCCACTCTTTGCTCCCCGCTGAAGCAATCCCCTTGATTTACTTTGGCACAGTCCCCGTGTGCGCTTAGCATCTACTCTCTTAGCTCACAGTCCAATGCAAGAGGCATGCACTAGCCTTTAACCTAGCACTGACATTCAGGTAATCTGCAGGTTTAAAGCACTCTGTGTCACTGCTCTGGGATTATATTTGATTCCCTAAAATCAACAGGGATTTGAGTTCAAGCCTAAACTGGTGGGACAAAAACAGAGTTCTGTCATTTCAGTAACACTCTTCATGACTCTGCATCTCTGGTCATCAAGTTGGTTGCCTCTAAAGTTAAATGGGAACAGATAGACAATGAAAAGAAAATAAAATGCGAAAGTTCTTCCCTTCTTCCAGGGAGAGGCCGGTGCTCTAGCAGAGCTGGGTGTGGAGCCGTGGGCTGGTCTGGCTGGACACTGCAGGGCAGGAATGAAATTTCAGTAAGAAGTAAATAATACATTTAAAAAAAAAAGTTCCACAGAAGAAGCCTGAAGCAAAATTCACTGATATTACAAAGAATGAACTTGCCCCAGGATGTTTCCAATGAACTCCTGGTAAAGGCACCTTTATAAAAATTGGGCCCCTGTACTAAATACAGTAACTGAGCGCTCCTGCTGCCATCAGCTGCGCTGCAGAAGAAGGCATAGCAAGACATCTCCTAGAGAAATACCAACAAGCTGTACAAAGTCTTGAGGCAGGTGCCTTTGGTGTGTAGGCTACAAACACTGTCTCCACCCCTTCCACCCACCCACATCCCAGCCCCAGCCATGCGCAGCGTGATTCCCACCTTCTTGCTTTCGAAGCCAAGAGAGAGACTGGAACCCTGTCAGGGCAGGAGCCGCACAGTCTGTCTGCTCTGGAGGAGGGCGAGAGGAAAGAAAGAAAGCAGCAGAAGCAGGGGTGAAAGGGAGACAGAGGAGAGGCTCAGCTTTCCCTGGAGGGATTCGACCTGCAATCAGCTATGTGGAGCATCACTTTCCTGTGGGGCTGCATCCTTCTCCTGCCTAGCACAGCCGGATCACCTGCAATGCTGTAAGAGCATCAGCTGCTTTGTGTACACGCTCTGGTCTGTGAGGGATCCTAGGGGGGCGGCGGTGTGACAGCAACAGGACAGAAGTCCTAAGATCAGGAGTGCTTTTCCAGAGAAGCGTAATTTCTCATATTCCCAAGGTTTCACTTGATTCTCAGGCACCCTTCCCCCCACACTCCCTCTACTTCTTGGCTCTCCCTTTAGTGTCTTTGATGTAGACCATGTATTTCTGCAAGGACTCAGGCAAAGCAACTCTGCCAGCTTTCTGCATGTGTTTAATTCTGACCTGCCAACCAACATCTTGCATCTCCTGCTGTGGTTTAGAATTTATTTCCTTTTGGGCTATGCTTTTCTCCTAGAGTCATAGGTCAGCATTTAAATCTTTAGCAGACAAAGCTGGGTGCCTTTATAAACCAGGCAAACATGAGCCTAAGGTATCTAATGGGGATGCTCTTTGTAAAGCAATGTGTTTATTCTGGCTTATCTGGCCATCTGTTCCCTCAGACTTTCTAAGAAACCTCTGGCAAGGACAATTCCCAGCGCTGCTTCTCTTCATACTTTTTATCAGGAATGCAACTCCTGGCCCAGCAAGCACTGCTAGGATATACTGGCTTGTGAACTTGCTCTTGCCTTTTGTAAGTCTTTGCTTTTGCAGCCATAGCATAAGTGTAAACAGAAACGGAGCTGTGCTCACACAGTAGATGTTACGGTGGGAAATATGTCACTGGGTTGTAGTTGTGTTCCCTCCTGCTGTGTGGTGTGGAATGTCACAAGTCTAGTTTTAAAAATATTTCCCAGAAGGAGTACAACCTCTTCCTCTGGGACATGTTCTGCAGGCTGACACAGCTCCCTCTCAAATGATGCTTTACTCCTGCGTGTTTTCCACTGTTACCTTCAGCATGAAGCTCTGCGTTATGGAAACACTGCTTGCTTCAACAGGCTGTCTGCTGTCCTGTCTGTATGCCAGTGTGCTTTGTAGATTCATTAGAAAGTAATCCAGCCTGGCTCTTGCAACCCTTGAATTACCACCTCAGAGATGCTGCCTCGTACTTTTACAGCTGGGAAAGGAAGGGCAACGGATGACCTTGCAAAGGCCAGCAGGACTTTGACTCCCTCTTGTCAGGGTGCTGAGCTCCAGCTAAGAACAACCAGCAGGTCACATCCCTGCCTCCTGCTGTTCTGATCTTTCTGGGACCTGCCCTCCTGCTGCTACAAAACGTGCTTCTGGCTGAACCTGTCCAGAGGCAGTAACCAGGAGGAGTCAGCAATGAGAGTTTTCAAATCTGCTTGAATGTTGGCTTCTCTTTGGTCCTAGTTGCTGCAGTGCAGTTAAAGGTGAAAAAAAAACCCAATATGAACAGCTTCTTGGTGTTATCCATGGGCACAGCTATGAGAGGAGCTGAGCCACACAGGTGTGAGACTTGGAGTAAGAGAGCAAGGAGGACAGGAGTGTCAGGAGCTGAAGAGGTGTCATGAAACTCTCTATCTGGGACGTGAAGCCAGAACACCAGGTCCCATACGTGTGGTATTGGTTCTGAGTTCAAGAGTAGCTGATAGGACATAAAGCAGATAACCAGCCAGGCATACTGATGGTTATACATAGTGTGGTTCAGTGAAAAGGCTGAAGTCTCAGAAAACTTGCAATGTAGCTAAGCTTTGCTGCTGGGGTGACCTGGGAGAGATCTGTTTGCCTTATTTTGACTTTCAGTTTTGGAAGCAGTGACTTTATCTTTTTACATGTGCAGGTGGCATGTAGTACAGACTCAGTGTTAATGGCTGAAGTACCAGTAGATGAGAAGAATGGTGTGATCTTGTCCCACTGTCATCATAACAGTGGAATGAAGAGATCAGAAGTCTAATTAGGAAGTACCAAAATCCTACAGTCAAAACCCATTCTCTCAGAAAATCAGTTTCACCTGACTTTTTTTTTTTAATAGAAATTATGCTGTGGCAATACCATCTCAGCTCTACTACCCCTTCTCCGAGACTGTGTGCCTCCAGCTCAGCAGAAAACAAGCAGTCCCAATCCATGTGACAGTAACCTTGCAAAGCAGAGCCAGGAATGAGACTCTGATCACTCAGTCCATCTCCCAGCTCAACTTACTTCATTGCACAAGCTTCCAGGTGAGGAAGATATTTTCAAGGATTGTCAGTAGGGTGGATAGTGCATGAGTTCTGCTCTTGCTGGGCAGGAAGGCAAAGAATTTTTTCTTCCTGTGGTGACGTCTTTATCAGGTACTGAATCCTCTGCTTCTGCCTGTATATGTCTGTTGGTGTCCTTCCTGCTGTCTAGCCCCACTGATATTTTACTCTTCTAGAATATATTCTGAAAAGTACTGTGAGGTCTTTCAGGACTAGAAGAACTGGAGCAGTATTATAATCATTATTCCAAAAGCCTGGGGATCCATGAGAGGGATCCACCCTAAATGATGGTTACAACTATGCCTGCAGGTCCCTCCTCCTGCTGGAAACACTGATGAAGTGGCTTTTATTGTTATCACAGTCCTGGAAGCCAACTCAGAGTTTCAGAAGAAACAGAAAGTCCTCATCAAGCATGCAGACAAGAAGACTTTTATCCAGACAGACAAACCTGTGTACAAACCTGGACAGGCTGGTATGGACAGAATCTGAGAGAAAGAGGAGTCCTCTGGCCACGAAATATGGGGGAGTGCTTGGAGTAGGGCCTGCTCTGCAAGGGAGATGGGTCACAAGCTTTGAGGAATTTCGGGTTACCTCTCTCCCACATCTACCACTTTCTATCTAGCAGGCTGCTAGCTCGGGACAGGGCTTTGGGCATAGGACCATGAGTGGATGGCTCTAGCTGCTGCCCACATGCTCTCAGTGAAGCACATGGGCACATCTTTCTTAGCCATCCATTCTTATTATCGCTAACAGACTTGATTTCATTTCAGCCAGTCCTATTTTTCTTTTGCTCTGTAGTCAAGCTGCGAATTGTAACCTTGGATCAGAACTTTATTGCCAGCAATGAAACGGTAAGTCAAGAGGGGAGAAACCTGAATAAATCTGAAAATGGTATGGGCTGACTCCATGACTTCTGGATCAGTCCTTGGCCCAGCTAGGTGATCCAGCTGTGGACAGCTAGTCTCAGTGTTTGCTTTTGGTGCTTATAAACAGCGTTGGGCACCACCTGCAACACAGGAGCTGCTTGTGACCTTGGGTCACAGGCAGTCCCAAGGAATTGCGTAGGGAAGACTCATGGATGGTTGGGGGATAAAAAATGCCAGGGAGGTGGATGGTAACTTACCTGAAAGCATGCCACTAATGTTATTTCTTTCCCACAGCACCGCCTGGTGGAACTGAAGGTAAAGCACCTACTTTATTGAAAGTGGTGATTTCTTCTCACCTTGGGGAAGACACGGATTTGGAGATGATGGTTGGGGAGATATGGATGCAGAAAGTCAGTTACCTCAGAATGAATGGGAATGAACGGTCCTTGAACTCTTGGTCTCCCTTCCTTTGGTATCCACACAAGTTTGTGCAGTGTCATGATACTGATCACACAGGGGTCCCTGCAGTAGATATTGGGTGCCATTGAAAACCAGTCAACTGTTCAGCAAACTTTTCTAGGGTGGTCACAAGACTTTTGAACCCTCTAGCCTGTGACTTGGAGATTTATGAAAATCCTGAAGTTTCTTTAGGGAGACTTTTATATTTAACATACAGAAAATAAAAGTTTGACCAGTTAGTGTTGTGGCTACACAGCTAGAGAAACTTCCTAAAGAAGCTTTCAGGATATTGTCCCTAAAATCTGTTAGTTTAATTTCAATATTACAGGTAAAATATGGACTGCAATCACCTGAGCTAAGGAAATATACCTGAAAGCAGTGGGGAGTTTGTAATAATCCAAGCAGAGAGGTCACAGTTCCAACTAGCAATTGGCAATAGCTAATGCACATTTGCATGCCATACCCACCAAGCAATCAACACATAAACATATGGTTTCTGAGACACCTCTGCAATGCTTTATGACAGTTTATACAAACGTAGTACTCTGATCCAGTTTCACTCTTTCAAACAAGAGTTCCTACTTGTTCCATATGTTTATAAAGCACCCATCAAGTCATCACCAAGTCCTTCCTGGCTGGGCAGTGCAAGACTGTAGCCAGAATTCTGCACCTTGCCCTCCCAGGAACAAGCAGTGGGAGAAGACTCTCCATCGTGGACTGACCGTGACAGTCAACAAAGCCTCCAAATGCCCTTGCAGTTTCACAGCCTCTGCTCAGCATCCCAGGTCTTTTCAGCCTCCTGTCTGTATCGGGCCTCGAGTTTCCTTGCATGAAGTCCTGGACTCACTTCCCTAGACTTTCCTGGGGATTCCAGACATCAGACTCCCTGGTAGTCTCTTCCAAGTAGTTCATGCCTTAAGCAGCATGTGCTGTCAGGATTGACCAGCTATGCCGGCTCAGATCACTGTCTCTGAGAAGGACCACCTCTATCTCTTAGTGTGACAGGCATGCAGTAAACCACAATTTTGCAGCAATTAGTGAGATAGTGGTGCCACCAGAGAGCAATAACAGTGAGATAGGGAGAAAAGCTCTATCCTCTTCAATCTTTAATTCACCTGAGCAGTGTAGCTGTGTCGTAGACCTGAGCTCTCAGGACAAGAGATTATGTGCTCTGATCATGCTGTGATAGCTTGGACACTCTCTTGGCACTAGGAAATAACTATCTACTGCTGCCTACACAGGACCCCAAAGGGAACCGAATCGCACAGTGGCTGAATGTTACACCTGTGAGAGGCATTGTGGATCTGTCCTTCCCTCTGGCTGCAGAAGCAGCAATTGGAGAGTACACCATCAAACTGCCTGACCGCACACACACCTTCAGGGTAGAGGAGTATGGTAAGAGTCTCAGGGAGCTGATGGCAGCAAGTGAAAGATGTATTTCCTCCAGCGCGCCTCTCTCACACAAAGTTGAATGGGCCATGCAGCTGTGAACAGCTGTGCAAGTTGTGCTAGCACCTGACATGTCCAACTGCCTGCCAGTGGGTGCGATCATTGACTTTCACTCAGACCCACTGTCTTTCTCGTCCCTCATGTCCTGAGGATGGACTGAGGCACTGTCTCACAGCCTTGCTCTGTGGAGGAGACAGCCATCTACTTCCACCATGCTCTCCTGGCTGCACAGCTGGTGCATTGCTACCAAGCTATATGTGCTGGTAGTCAGGGATTGAAAGGAGAGATTTATTTTCTCTAAAAGAACATTTGGGGAGCACGTTGGAACAAATGAATTCTCTCTAGGTTTAGAACTGAATTATATTTCTCCTGCTTTCACACAGTGCTGCCCAAGTTCAGTGTCTCCATCCAGATGCCTCAGGTGGTCACCATCTTGGAGAATAGCTTCCATCTTCACATCTGTGGCATGTGAGCTGATTTTCTGTGGCAGTAGGTGTATTCTTACTGATTGGGAAACCCCACAGCTATCAATAACTGAGCTCAAAATGGTCTCTGCCAACCCTACCTCTCCCAAAGTCTGGTACCCTGCCATCCTCTGCTAAGGAGCTCTCCTGGACTCTCACTTTTCTCGGTATCATCTCTCCCTACTTCTTTTTCCATGAGTTTGAAAGTGTGGCAGTGGGGCAGGTGCCCTGCAACACAGTATCTCTGCTGCATTGATTAGTGTCAGGAAGGAATAAGCGTGAAAAGGATAATGAATCAACCTGTGGCCAGCCCAATGTCCCCTAGCACTGCCTGGTGGGACTAGTGTCAACTTGGAAAGAAGTCACCCACCACTGCCTTCTGTCTCAATCTGATGAAATTATTTTAACTTCTTGGCCTCTGCTGAGCTCATGATCCATGGAGATAATGCTGGGTGCTGAGTTGCGTAGCTGCAATCCATGGGCTGAAGCTGATATTCACCCTTGAGCCGGTGTTTCTGTATGTGAGTGAGAGTTGTCTCTGCTACGTTTGCCAGGTACACATATGGGAAGCCAGTGCAAGGTAGTGTGAAGGCTGTGGTGTGCCGTAAACTTACCCGCTATAATCGGAAGTCTTCCAAAGCCAAGCGCAGTATCTGTAAGGATTACACTGGTGAGGTGAGCACATGGGACATCCTCTTGCAAAAGAGAGGGAAAGGGACAAAGAGAGGGAAGGAGTGGGACAGGCATCAGCTATTGAAGCAGCGTGCACTTTGCTCAGGGATGAATGACTGATATTTCCTTAAATCCCCAGTGCAGCAATCTTAGCCCCTCTCAGTGATTTCTCTAACTGCACTTAGATACACTCAAAGGAAGAAACATCTGTAGGCAAGCTAACTACTGTAGATTCACCTACAAAACAGGTGTTGCAACAGGGAAATAAAAAATACAGGCACTGTTCACATCGATTGATTTCCACTGGATTCTTTCTAGCACTGCCTTTTAATCTGGTGTAAACACCTATGTGCTGTTTCCTAGAAATAGCTGTTTTGGAGACCAGGAGTCACCTTTTGCATCTAAGCAAGCAATTGCAGTTCAGCACAGACTTTACTTATTCATCTCTAAGATTGAATGAATCTATTCATATCTGTTTACATATTTTAAAGTAACCCAGCGCATGTCTTAAAGATAAATCCTGTCCTAGCAGAAGAAGTTATGTTGTCAGGGAGAAATTACAACTCCTGTTTGCTAGTGGCACATGCCTGAGTGTGTAAGAATGAGACGTGTGAAACAGTATCTCCTAATAGTTACTGCTCCACTGAAAAGAAGTCCATTTCGTGCCACTATGGGAGTTGCTCTTCTAACTCAAATATCTTACTGGATAGTACTCACAGTACTGTCATGTACTTCTAGACTTCCAGGCTTTGGGTTTGATCTGCACTGCAGAAGGGGTTAATGCATTCATGATTGGTTAACAGATACAATTTTGCATCCCCAGACAAACGAGGATGGCTGTTTTGCCACTGATGTGAATATTAAGGTCTACCACCAGAAGCGTGGTGAGAATTCTGATTTCAACCTGGAAGCTGTGGCTTTTCTGAAAGAAAGTGGAACAGGTAGCAAAAACTGATTCTACACTTCATGATAAATCTTTTCCTTTACACTCATACAACATGCTTGTCTTTGGGTTTTCATCTGCAAGACTCCCTATGTGTCTTCTCATCAAACCACTGCAACCTTCTGCACTGACTCCCATGGGGTCAAGTGTTCAGAAGGTTGCATCTTCCCTGGCATCACCATGGCAGCGTGGATGTTCTTGTGTACCATACACCCGTGTCTGACTCACATAGGACTTGTGAGTTGTCCCAGTTGCAGGAAGAGCTTTACCAGTATGATTGCTCCTCCACAAGCTGCTGTGGCCAGCTTAGTTCTGACAGTCTTCTTGGTTTGGCAGAGATGGACAAGAGCTGCTTTCTCTCATCTTCTGATCACAGTAGAAATGTGCACAGAGATGGGCCAGGCCAGATTCTTTTGTTCTTAAACCGTACTGTAGAAAAGTCTGTTGGAATAATGGAAGAATCAGAACAACCAGTGATAACCCAGGCCCTGACTGTGTACCACTGGTAGCTCCTCATCAGATTTACCTCCCCATCACAGATAGGGAGATGAGAGTACTTGTCCACAGCTCCTGTTAAATATCCCATCCTGTGAAGTTTCCTCTCTTACGAAATTTTACGAACCCTTCCTAACAAGAAAATGTTTTGCAGCCCCTTGCTGAAAGCACTGGCACACGTTTACCTAACAAACTGCAGTGATTTCAGATGGGCACCACATGACAAGACAGCAGAATGTAAACTAACACGGTGAAGGCAAGGGAAGATGTTGCCTTCTAGTGACTCTGCTGTGAGAACGGGAGGAGAATGAAAGTGGACAATTGTGAGTAGGACCATCTTAAACAAATTCATAAGAAGTATTTAGCAGAGACATCCTGGTAGACTGTTGTTGTTCTAGCAGGTCAGAATGTAGGAGTCACTAGTGCCAAGTGCATGTGTTAAATGACTCCTGAAATTTCATGGAGAAACTACAGTCCCCTATAAGTGACAGTCCATCTCTTACCTTAGTCCGTCCAGTCCTGCTGTCTTTGCTCAGATACATGATGCTCACTCTTATTCACCTTCTGTCTTTCCTAGGGGTGGAGTTCAACACCACTGAAAACTGCAAGGTCACTTTTGATATCACAACCCTCAAATTCTGGGGGACAAGCTACTACTATCAGCAAGGAGCTCCCTACTATGGAAATGTAAGTGAACAGGGCAGAAACATGGAAAGCCCAGCAGCTGAGCCTAAGGGCATGGTGGGCACAGAAGGGAGTCCTGTTGCTCTGAGCTGCCCAAAGCTGCTAGCACAGTCCTTTGACCTAGTCTCTCCTTTGACCTAGCCTCTCCTTTGACATCTCTACCAAGAAGTAATCCAAAAGTGTGACCACAGGATAGGTACATGGCTTTGCCAGATGAGTCGGCTGCTGCATAAATGGGGAGGGGTTGAAGGAGTTAGGAGTCACACTAAGAATCCCTTTGTGAAGAAGGGAAGTGGGACTTCTACTAGGAGGTAGATTTTTCAATCCTGAGGCCTTCAGTTTTCTGACTGTTCTCTGCATCATTGCAGCTGGAACTCAAAAGTGTCAATGGGACACACCTGAAGAATAAGGAGGTGATTCTTGCAGTGTCCCATGGTAGCATGAAGCAGACCAAGACCTACTTCACGGATGACACTGGGATGGCCTCTTTCGCCTTAGAGACATCAGCATGGGACAACAGCAGTAAAGTTCTTCTACAGGTTAAGCCCAATAATTACACTGGATTCAGCTAGCACTAAGCAATGCATCTCTCAGATGTCTAGTCTATGTTACTGTCTTGGTATAGCCAGGGAGATGGAGGCATGGAGCAGTGAAATGATGGATCTAAGGCAAGAGGAATAGCCCAAAGCACAGCCAGCACAGTCCCTGAGCAGTCAGGAAACATGATTGAGAGATGGGGCAGTGAACAGTGGCCCCATGAAGTTCTGACTGAGGTCTACCTGTATAGCACCTCTGTCTGAGGTGCAAAGGGCTTTGTGGGGCTGGGTAGGAGCAGAAAGCAGAGGAAGGGCTCCCACATGGCATGGAACAGGAAGATGGGAAAGGAGCTAGGGAAGAAGTGTCTGAAAATACATGCAGAGAAGAAAATGTCAATGACCAGTTTGCAGTATGTTTCCTCATAGTATAAGAGCTAAGAGAAACCTGGAATATAAGAGGCAGAAAACTTAGGAGAGAAAGAAGGCAGGCTAGTAAGGAACCGCTTGTTGCAAGACAATCTGGAGCAGAGAAGGTAACCAGGATGCAAGGAGATAAATACGGATGCCACCTACAGTGAATTGAGAGAGAAAAGTTCTGCATCTGCTTTCCCATGAACAAAGAAGCCTCTCTTGTCTGGTAGTAGGGTAGGTTTCTAATATGTGTCCTATCTTCAAGGTCAAAGCACTTTATCAGAGTGCATGCAGTATCTTAGTTGATGGATCTTGGCCTTTCTGGAAGTCCACAAGACATTAATATCATAGTCTCAGTGCAGATAGATCATAGGTCAAAGATGAGCAAGGCTGTTACCTGCAGTTGTCCACTGACACCTCTACCTTATGGATCTGAGAAGTGCTAAAAGAAATAAATGTGCAAATGGAATAATGCTGAACAGTAACACAGACTATCAGGGGAGATCCATGCCATTTTCCCAGAGGTACCAGACAGAATCAAGAGGTTCAGTGGTTTGAACCAGGGACTACCAAGCCACTCTGCATAGTCTAACGACCTGGCTTGCTCCTGGAGTAGCAGCAGCATTGCCGAAGTTCAGCTTCTGGCCCAAGCCCTAGGAGTATACAGCTCCTTGACTTGTGTAGGCACTAGTTATCCCAGAGTGTGCTGGAGCAGGCAATGTCAAGCTCCACAGAAAATTACTCTGGAGCTTGGCTTAGGTGGAAATAGACACCTTACACTGGGAAAGTTCAGAGTCTACTGTCCAGTCAGTCTTGGTTTTGGCATGGGGAGAGCTATAAGAGGTCTTCAGACACCAAGCCACCTTTTCTGTGCTACAGGCAACAACCCAGCCGGACGACTTAAGGGGTCAAAATGTGAGGGTGTCTTATGGCACTGCATCCCTCACACTGAGGGCCTTCTACTCTTCCAGCCGCAGCTCTGTGAGGATTCAACCAGTGCGGGGAATGCTGCCCTGTGGGGACACACAGCAGGTCACTGTGTACTATCGCATCCTGGCCACAGAGCTGGGGGATGGGGCTGCCACAGCAGACTTCTACCACCTGGTGAGTGCAGGGCAGCACTGGCAACAGAGTCAGCTTTGCGATGAGTCTGTGTCAGCATGGGGCCCTTTCCTGGCCCAGAGACATGGAGCAGAGGCACTATCAACCTTTTGCTCTTTTCATTCCCTTTTAGGTTTTGGCCAGAGGATCCCTTGTGCATCATGGCCAGACAACAGTACTTCTTGATCCACCATTAGGTAAGAGCATCTAAATACTGAGAAAAAATTAAGGATCCAACAGGAAAGCCCTTCCAACCTAAATGGGGAAGGAAAGAAAAGAGATATGAGAACAATGGGAAACAACAGAGCTGGCACAAAAAGAAACTAAGAGGAAATGGCAAATACACTATCTCTCTTCTTCCAATTTCCCTGATTATTTTTTCTGATCAAATGATGTAACCGTCAGAGTTTACCTGCCAAGATCTCTCATGATGTAAGTTCACTGCTACAGAATAGCACTGTCCTACATCCTGGTCTTGCTTCTCCCCAGAAGCAAGGCAGAATAGTTTTTTATCCAAGTAACTGTACAGAAATATTGTAGAGGATGAGCATGTTACTGCCTCAATCCTTGGAGACAGACTTTCTTACCTCTTCCTATACTTCTTCTGTTTCTCCTTCTTCCTTCAGGTCAGTACAGTGGGGCTTTCAATGTCAGTCTGCCCATTGACCTCATTTCACCCATGGCTACCCTCTTTGTTTACACTCCTTTTCCTGAGGGACAAGTGGCAGCTGACACCTTCAGTCTGCAAGTCTCCAAGTGCTTCAGGAACCATGTAAGTAGTGCACAAAACATAAGGGGGTAGGTAAGCTGGAGGGTTGCTAATTTACTGCAAATTGGCAATAGATGTCCAGCAGAATCCAGTAGCCACAGTCTCCTCTTTCCTTCCTCTGTCAATGTCTTCAGTCCCTATTTCTTCTGCTGTTTCAGGTGAAGATTGGCTTCTCAGACACAGTGGCTCTCCCAGGATCAGCTGTCCACCTCCATTTGAAGGCTGCACCAGGCTCCCTGTGTAGCATCCGTGCTGTAGATCAGAGTGTCCTTCTTCTGAGGCCAGAGGCTGAGCTATCCAAGGATAGTGTGAGTCACTTTAGAGCTGAGCCTTCAATACTATATTGAAGGAATGCCTTTTGAGTATCTGGTTGCAGGCACTGCACAGTGGATATACCAATAAGTGCTTGAATGGGGACAGGACGTGGCTTAATGAGAAAAAATGAAGTCAAACATCAACCACCAGTCAAAATTTCCAGTCTCTGTGGAGGGATCTTATCAAATAATGCACTGTCATCCCCAAGTACAGCTCAAAGTCATATCCTTGACTAGAGTCAAAGGACAGAGACTAAACCTAGAGTGCTTTGCCACAGTGGCAACCAGATAGCAAGACAGTTCCATCTCCTGAAACAATTCGTGACAGTGCTCTGAAAAAAAGAGTTATGTTAAAAAATGCCCAGTGTTTGATAGGCTCTGTGACTTTGTTCCAGCTTACATGAACCAGACAGTCCTACCATCCACAAACTGGACTGTAAGTGATGTCTTCGCAGCGGAAGGGTCCCATTTCTCCTCTAGACCTGAGACTCTTTGGGTCTAAGGACCCTTGAATTGCTTCTTGACACTGTATTGGTGAATCCAGTGTCTTCAATTAGACAAGAACCTACTTAAAGATTCCTATGGGGAAGGTCTCCTCACTGTTTGCATTGAGCTCACAGGTACAATCTATGAGCTAGAAGTGGCCACAGGTATGCAACTGTACCTCAGAGGGGTTTGTGTTCATCTCTAGTGCTATGCATCTAAAAGTTTTGGAGGCTCTCCATGAAGCTCAAAAACCTTTGAGACTGGGTATTTGCAGCAAGCAGGATCCGACCTCTGCCTCTGCAGTCACAGAAAATCTCTGAATAGAAATTAAAAACTTCCCTCTTCTCACACTGACCTGTACTGTTTTCTTTCTCTGTCTACAGGTGTACAATATGTTCAGCTCTTCTCAAGAGCATCCCAGCACCCTCACAGACCCTTACAGTGACTACTGTACCATCCACAAGAGCCCAGGAACCACCAGTTCCCCTCAGACCACCATTTCACCAGGAACAGTGTCACCATTCATGGTCGACAGATACTCATATGCAGTGTCCCAACCAGATGTTTATGAACTTTTGAAGGTAAATCTAAATTTCAGACAACCTGAATTGTCAAAGCAGAGCCTTTTCATATCCCAGGACAGCGCTGCACAGCTTCACAAATTGTCTTTCTTGTAAATGCTGATAATTTCAGGTTCTGAATTTGCCAAGCTTCTGAACTAAGAGATCTCTGACACTCCATGCTCCCAGCCAAATTTTGTTTGGAAAAGCAAAGCACCTGAGAGAAAGGGAGGACTGGGGAAAACAGGGAAAGAATGGTAGAAAGGAGTAGCAGGCAAAAGATGTGAACAAGTCTGTGTTAGGTTGGGCAGCAAACTGTGGTGTCAAAATACACACTTTGTGTGTGGGCATGCACATGCAAGTGGTCACCTCCACAGTCCTGACTGGAGAGGGCCTCCTTTGGTGTAAGGGGCCAGGGTTGGGCTTTGGGAGCATTCTCTCCCTGCATAAATTAGTAGGTTGGGCTGAGGTGCAACAACACAGGGTAGCTGATATGCTGGGAGGCGGGGGCAGAGACAGACCCTCAGACACGCCACCCCCTCCACTGAAATTTGTCTTCTCTTTTTCTTTCCCCCAGAATTCAGGTCTAACATTTTTAACCAGCCTTAAAATCAAGTCTCCGATTGAGTGCCACACCCAGATCTCTTTCTACTACGACTACATGTGTACATCTTGATTTATCCTGTTTCTTTGGAGATCATGGGTAACATACAGGCTGCACAAGGGCAGCTGAACATGCGATGTGCTGAGGAACTGGGGATGGCTTCCAGAGATGAGTGGGAGGCTGCACAGACACCACAAGAAGATGGGAAGGGTCCTGGGGGTGTGCGTGTGTGTGTTTCTCTGTGTGTGTGTTTTTGTATCCAGTGCACTGGAGGGGTGGAGAGTTGGCTGCATAGGAAGAACTTGCTTGGTAGAGGGAAATGAGGCAGCTGTCTTAGGAAGGAACATCTGTTTATAAGACTAGAAAAGCTCTTGCTGGAAACCAGAGAATGAAGCAAGACGCACTGGGCAGTATCTAGGGCTTTCTGCAGAGCCTGAGAGCAAAAGTGTGAGCAGATAGAGTCCCTCATGGTGGAGCATGCAATGACGAAGTAGGTTGAGGGCATCTTGGAGAGGACAAGGGGGATTGGAACGGGAATGGAAGGGATGGAGAGCTGATCTTTTCCCAGCTGAATTCTATCCTGATCTCACAGTTGCTCTGCCTTTGAATGAATGCTTTTATTCCCAGTAGCATACGGTGACCTGGCGGACTTGGACAACTCGAACCCAGAAACAGATGCTGCTGTTGAACGTGCTGAGTCAGAGCACTTTGAGCTTGGTAGCGAGGCAGGACCAGTACGTGCCTGGTTTCCAGAGACATTCATCTGGACTCTGGTTCCCATCAAGTGAGTAATTACGGGCTGTGGCCCCACATGAATCCAGACATCCTACCAGCCACAGCAGAGAGGGAATGGGCAGGAGCAGAACCAGGGCACTATTGCCTTCTGTGCCCACAAAGGAAAGAGAGATGTGAAGAAGTGGATAAGGACAATGGAGGCTTGGTTCAGTTCCTGGCTCTACTTGAGATTTTCCAAGTGTCTATAGGGAACTTAAAATCACAGAATCCTGCAGGATGGAAGAGGCCTCCAGAGGTCTGTAGCTCAACATCCTGTGCAAGGCAGGTCCAGCTACATAAGGCTGTTGTAGTCAAGTTCTGTGTATCTCCAAGGACTGAGATTTCACAAACTAACTGGGCACCTGTTCCAGTGCTGATTGTTCTCATGATTTTTTTTTTCTTACCTCAAGTTAGAATTTCCCATGTTTCAACTTGTATCTGTTACTTTTCATCCTGCCAATATGCACCTCGAGAAACTGGTTCCATTGTCTCTACACCTTCCTATTAGATAGCTGTAGAAAGCAGAAAGATCTCCCCCTAGCCTTTCTTTCTTAAGTTGAAACCCCTTGTTCTTTCAGCCTCTCCTTTTACATCACATGTCCCAGGCCCCTGACCATCTTGATAGTCCTCCACTGGATGCATTCAAGTATGTCAATATTTTCTTATCCTGGAAGGCAAAAATGGGACACTACTTCAGATGTGGTCCCACAAGGGAGGAATAGAGTGGGAAAATAACTTTTCTCAACCCAGTAACTGCAGTCTTCTTAATACAGTAGATGGCCTTTGTTACTGTAAGGGCACGTAAGATGTCTCATGCACAACTTGTCATCCACCAGGACCCCCACCTCTTTTTCTGCAAAGTTGCTTACTAGCCAGGCCCTGCCTAGCCTGTACTGTTGCATGGTATTACTCCATCCTAGATACAGAATTTTGTATTTATCTCTTTTCAAGCCTATTTTTCCAGCTTTTCAAGGTTCTTCTTAATAGTAAACTTTCCCTCCAGCATATCAGAAACCCCTCCTCAGCAAGGTATAGTCTGCTAATATAAAGTAAGATTAGTCTGCTAATCTTGCTGACTATGTCCTTTCCCCTGTTATCCAGGTCTGAATGGCTTACTGCCATTAAGCAGTATTGACCCAAGTATCAACCCCTGAGAGATGTCATGGGTAAACAGACACCACTTGGACTTTGTGTCACCAATAAACATCCTTCATTACCAATGGTCCATCACTTTATCATTCATTCGTCCAGTTCACACTAATGTGGTTACAAGGGTACTGTGAGAGACTTGTCAAATGCCTTGCTAAAGTCAAGTTATACAGTATCCACTCTTCTCCCCTTATTCACACATCTCAGCTTTCTTAACTGTCCCATCTACCAATGTTCTCTGTCTGTAAGATAGGATCTCTACCTCTCCATCTCATTTGGGTGGATTATGCCCTTTTCAGGGCAGGGAGCATCTTCCATTTTGTGTATCCAAATCTGTAAGTGACATTTATAATGATGACTGCCCAGCTGTGGTTGGGAATTTGGGTGATGGTGTGGTGGAAGTGTCACACATTACTCCCTGGCATAGGCTGGTTGTATAACACGGACCCTTGGGAGTCCTTTGTGCCGACACAAAACAAGAATTTGAGGTGAAACACTCAACAGAAGCAAATTTTGGTTTGCATTTGCCTTTCAGTCCTTCCTTGCCCACCCATTTGCTGTCCTTCCTGTACCTCTGTCCTACATCCTAGGAATCCCCGCACCTTCACACACACTTCCCGTTCATAGCCCTTCTGCATTTGTCTTCCCAAGGGAAATCTTTATAGGAATGGGGACCACCCCTTCCACTCTGTTTTCTCCTCAGTGCTTCGGGGGCTGCTGAGCTAGGTGTCACAGTACCTGACAGTATCACCGACTGGAGAGCCATGACCTTCTGCACCTCAGAGAGACATGGGCTGGGAATCTCAGAGACCGCCAGCCTAAGGAGCTTCAAGCCCTTCTTTGTGGAACCCATCTTGCCCTACTCCGTCTTCCGGGGAGAGTCATTTCCCCTGAAAGTCAAAGTCTTCAGCTACCTGAAGCAGTGCATGGCGGTGAGTGGCTCCCTCCTAGATGGTTGTTGAGCAGGGGAATGTGTGGTAACAGCACTTCTCTGACAGAGACCCAAAGCAGGGGCTGCTTCCTCAGGCACTGGGCAAAAGACACCAAAGAAGCTCCTCACAAAGCTCCATGCAGAGGCGTCTCTGTCCAGTTCATCCCTCCCCTTAAATTCAATGCTACAGGACTACGATGACCATGGGCTGTTAGTGGCCTACAGATATTGCATCAGGGCCATCGTCTTACTCATGCTGGGCTTCTGGACTTGACTGACATTTGAATCAAGGAGCTGAACGGAAAAACACAGCAGCAGCTCTGTAACCTGAACTCCGTTTTGTTTCACCTCTAGCTCCGGCTTAGCCTAACGGACTCCAGGGACTTTGAATTTGTGCATGCAAATATCAGGTTCTCTACTTGTCTGTGTCCTGACTCAGCAAAAACATTTTTCTGGGATGTGAAGGCTACAAAATTAGGTAAGGAGGCAAGGGAGGGGCAGGAGCAGGAGGCACTGGCAGAGCTGCCTGAGGAAACCAGAGCTGGGCTGGAAGGGAGAGTGTCCTATTCTGCAAAGCACTTTTAGACCGACCAAACTAAAACATAGGCATAGATGTGTCAACTGGCCTCGTGATGTTTTGTTCTTTAGGGAAGGTGAATTTCACTGTCACTGCTGAGGTGGTGGAGCAGGAGGATGTTTGCACTGAGAGGACAGCTGTTGTGCCAGAGTCTGGAGGGAAGGACACAGTCGTTAAAGACCTGCTGGTGAAGGTCAGAGTATGCTTCTGGGTCCTGGTGAGACTGAAACTGGGTTAGACTCAAAATGGCCAAGTGGGTGGCTCTGGGAAGGGAGTGTTGGCCAGGCAGGTAGGCATGTTTCTCAGGGAGGCTGGTCAAGGAGTGGTTCTAAGGGCAGGTTGGGTTGGGCCATGAGCTGAGCACCTCCACTTGATGGCTGAACTGCACAGCTGCTCTTATTTTACTGCTTTCCCATCTGAGCTGACCAGGCTTTTCCCCACCAGGCAGAGGGGCTGCTGGAGGAAAAGACCCACACCTCACTCCTGTGCCCTAAAGGTAGGTGCAGATACCCCAGAGATGGGGACTGTGTTACCACTGGGGCTGTATGTGTGCACGGAGCAAGAAGACCAAACAGAAGCAGTGTGCTTTGTGAACAACTCTAGGACTATCTGGAAGTGCATGGGGAGAGGAAAGTCAGGGATTTTGGAGCTTTTATGGGGAGGCAAAGCCATTCAGCTCTACCCAGTATTACAAGCTTCTGGCAGGACCAAGCCACTGACTAACCCTATCACGGTCACTCATCAGTGGGTGGCCTGATCTCTGTGTCATCCTTTCTTTTGAATGCTGATTTCATCAACTGATGGGGTAATTCCAGCCTTGTTTACACCCAGGGATGCCTGTGGATCTGCAGTCTCCCTCCTACCTGTTGTTGTTCTGATACTTTTGCCGTTTGCAGGAACTTCAGCTTCAGAGACAATCACTTTCACTGTGCCAGAGAACAGGGTCCTTGGGTCGGAGAGAGCCCACGTCTCCTTCTTAGGTGAGATTCAGGGGGGAGTTTGGAAAATAAGATATTTTCCTGCAGGATTCTTTTTTTTTTGTGTCAGCATGTCTGCTTTAGCAGAGTAACAAGAGGGACTGTGTAAGATAAGGTGTGATACTGGGCCCTTATGTCTTCCAGAGAAGCATCCCATGTCTTTTATACAAGTGACCCTGGGACAGATGGATGTATAATTTCGCCCAGTCTAGTGAAAAATAGACAAGTACTGTATCACTGTTCCTACAGGGCTCTATAGACAGTAAAGTCATCCTAGTGTGAGCAGAAGTGAACTGAGACCAATTTTAGCAGGTTATTTGGAGAATCCATGAGACCATAAATTTTTTACAGGCGAGAATATGTAAAGCTCCCAAAGCTGTGGTTCTGTCCTACAGGTGACATTTTGGGGACAGCACTGGACAACATAGATGAGCTCCTCCAGATGTCCAGTGGCTGTGGTGAGCAGAACATGGTTCATTTTGCCCCCAATGTCTTTGTCACACGATACCTTGAAGAAACAGGACAACTGACTCCAGAAATCAAGCAGAAGGCAATTGGCTATTTGGAAAGTGGTGAGTGGATTTCTGCTCATGTCAGGTTATTAAACTGGTGATGTCCACTACAGCAGGTAGGGGATCTCAGCAGAGGCTTGGTGCTGAACAGGATTTGTACAGTGTCACTAGCCTGACAGCACAGGAATTACAGCAATGTAAACCAGGCTGCTGTGCCTCAGCTGAACAAGGGGTACACAGCATCCCTCCAAAAGCTCTTTGCTGTGCTCCTCAGAGACAATGCTCTCTATAATGACCAGCGGGATTGGCAGGGCAGGTTGTCACCTTGAGAGCTTGACAGACACAGAACATCTTCACTACCCCCAGCCTCTTCCCACAGGATATCAGCGGCAGCTCTTGTACAAGCACGCAGATGGCTCATACAGTGCGTTTGGGGAAGGAAGTGAGCCAGGGAACACGTGGTAAGCAGAGACATCCAGACACCGTTGAGGAATAACAGCTTGACCTGGTCAGACTCAAGGTGGCTTGGATTTTGGTCTGGGGAAACAGAGGGAGTATGGAGATGTGGAGTTTTGAACAGAAACTGCTCGTGAGACTTTTTGGAAGAGAACCGTGCCAGTGAACCGACTTGAGGTACCCCTGTTTGATTGTGCTTGGGCACCTCAACTGAGGCTGATTCTGAAAACTTGACTGCAAAGATCAGGTTTTCCAGAGCACTTCGTGTCCAAATAGGACTGGGAAAGGAGTGGAATGAGCTTACTAAGTATCAGCTGTCCTAGCTTTAAATCACATAAACATTCAAACAGGGACAGCTCTGGTCAGTTCACTGGCACAGTTCTCTTCCAGAAAGTCTGACGAGCAGTTTCTGTTCATTCCCTGTTGGAATTGGCAGAGGTCTGGGGGAAGCACTGAAAAGTCAGCGATTCTTTTCTCTCTCAAACATTTTCTTGCTGCAGATGGATCTGAGCTTGAGCTTCAAGAGCATCCATCTTGTGCACATTGCTTCCAATTCTCCCTCTGTGCAGAGGCTCTGGCCTGCTGGCATTTCTCAAGGGATGTGACAGTGGAAGACACAGAGGCTCCTGTCTCCTACTGGAGATGGACATCAGTGACTAGTTCAGTTCAATTTTCTTCTCTGTTCCTTGGCTGTAGGCTTACTGCCCTTGTCCTCAAGACCTTCAGCCAAGCCCAGGACTTCATCCACATAGATGAGCAGAATATAAAGGATGCTGCCAGTGCCTTGATTAAAAGTCAGACTCCATCTGGCTGCTTCGAGAGTGTGGGGAAGCTCTTCAACAATGGTCTGATGGTATGACATGTCCTGGCTCTTCATTATGTACCTCAGAGCTTCTTCACTTTATGGCCCAATTTGGGTCCAAGAACAAATGAACTCTACTGCAGGAGGGAGGCTTTACCCACATAGGAACTGAACCAGTGTCCTGCCCTAGCCTCATCTCAGAAGCTAACACATACCCCCAAAACAAAACAAAACATGGTTTTCAACCTCTGTGTTATTCCCTTGGTAAACTGGTTTAGCTTCCTTTCCCATTAGTGAGCTGTCATTTCTTCCTTCAATCTGAGTTCTCTGTACAGAGAGAGTCAGAAAGAGTGAATGGAGGTTGATGGCAGCCACTAATGTGAGATTCATCTTGCCAGTGGTGTTCCCTATACACTCAAAAACACAGCACTTGTGTGTTCACAGACACACACAGAACATGACCAAGGTGGGGCCAGCAGCAGTTTGGTGGACAGTACCTCAGATAGATAGTTCTCCAAGTGAAGAGAACGGTACCTTTCACTGCCACTTGCAAAAGATACCTTTTTGTTTGCTCCTTCATACCCTTGCCACAGCCCTGGCACTTAAGTAAGTAAGCCCTGGCCACCTTGCAGTGAGGTTCTGGGAACATCACTTTTTCCTGACACTGAAATCTGGTACTGAAAATCTTCTGCAGGGAAGAGGAAAGGGCAATGTGTTCAGCAGAGGGAGGGAATCAGCCTCCCAGAGGATTTTGGGTCACCGTGGCTGAAAAGTCCTCCAGCAAGCAAGACCTACAAAAGCAGATATTAGCCCTGGTACTTTCTTAGTGGAGGAATAGGATCAGCACTGTAGCCTGCACTGGCAGACCAGGTCCCTTTTGCTCAGGGAGCAGAAGGCACTGTAAAAGTTCTCCCTCTCCCTTCTCATGGCAGCCTTCCTCCTCTATGTTTTGTGGTGACTGCAGGGCGCAGTGGAGGAAGGACTGGGGCTAAGCTCTGCGATCATCACAGCTCTCCTACACTCAGGGATGCCACGGTCTGTGAGTATCGGCAGCAGGGACAGGCTGTGTGTGCAGCCTCTCAGCAGGTACACACACAGGTGTGTCACCATTTTTCTCCCTATGTGTCCTGTCCCTGCACACATCAAGGCTGCATTCCCTCCCCACATACCCTTCCCAGCAACCAATGTGCTTTTATTTGTATCCTAGGACCCAGTTGTGTTGAAAGCTTTGACATGTATAAAGGACCTGGTCAATGCTGATACTGGCAGTTCCAACCTCTACAGCCTGGCACTAGCTGCAAATGCCTTTGCAGTAGCAGGTGATAAGGTCCTCAGGCAGAAAATCCTCAAAAGATTGGATAAGGCAGCCATAATATCAGGTACAAAGTCTGTGGGGCAGAAGAGAGGGTCATTGGCAGAACTGTGTGGAGATCCCAGGGCTGAACACTTAAGGGGATGCAGGACAGCAGTAAGGGGCATTGACAGAGCTCTGTGGGGAGCCCAAGGCTTGGATAGCTTCTGTTTGCTGAGCTATCACAGGCTATATCCATACTGTGAGACAGACTTACTCTGTGGATGATCTCATGGTCCTGGTCTCCCAGTCATCCAAACCAGGGGAGCTTCATGGACGTTGTAGAGCTCCTTCCCAGCCTGCAAGCTTAGCTTTTCACTGGGAAAAGCAGGGTGTAGGGGGACAAATAGGAAGATATGCATCCATATCTTGTCCCAGTATACATGTTCACTCAGTACCTAGGCACAGGGGCCAAGCAAGACTCCAAGGTCATTAGTTACAGCTACACACCCCATAAGTTTCCCACTCCACCTGTAGGTGACCAAATATTCTGGAGTCAGCAGTCCAAACAGGAAGAAGACTCCCTGTATTGGTATCAAGCTCCATCTGTTGATGTGGAATTGACTTCTAGTATCCTCCTGGCTCACCTTTCAAAGTCAAGTTTGTCTTCAGAGGAGATCACAAAGGCAACCCAGATTGTGTCTTGGCTTATCAAGCAGCAGAACCCTTATGGAGGCTTTGCTTCAACTCAGGTAATCCCCTTGAGAACCTGCTATGGTCAGCTATGGTTTGTGACACCAATGGGTTCTAGCACAGTCGATAGTAAAAAATACTTTAAAAGAGAAGAAAAAAATCTATGGATTTACAGCACCTGGGAGTTGGGAAAGGGCGAATATTTGTCTTTGTCTGAGCTAATGCCATGCTAAAAGTCCAAAAGGAAAGCTCACCTTTATTATGCTGTAACTGCAGTATGAGGGAGGGAAAGGCTAAGGACTGGGCATGCACAGGGAACAAGGATCCTATTTTGCCCAGTGTCTATCTCTTTCCTCAGGACACAGTGGTTGCCCTGGAAGCCCTAGCTCTGTATGCAACCAAGACCTTCAGCAAGGAAGGCCCTGATCTTCAGGCTTCTCTCTCCTCTGAGGTTTTCAACCAAAACATCCGAGTAGACAACACTAATCGCCTCCTGCTGCAGACAGTGGAGCTGCCAGACGTTTCCCAGGGTTATACTGTGCGTGTCCACGGTCGTGGGTGCCTTTTCCTCCAGGTAAGCCCAACCAGGGAGAAAAGGTCTGTCTGGGGAAAAGCCTTGAAAGCCAGGGGACCTCTCACCTGGCCACTTAGCCAAGACTAAGAACAAACTAACTGCTGCAGTGATTTGCAAGAATCTGGGCTTCAAGGCTGGTAGGAATAGCTGGGATCCAACAGAAAGGGAATAGTAATTCCCCAAATGAAATCTGGAACATCTGCATGAAGTCAGAGCTGCACCTCTCCTCCAGGAGCAGTGCACAAGCACAACCTCCACTTTCTCTACATAGTTTTTTATTATACCAGTGCAAGACAGCAAAGAGCAGTCAAACGCTAGAAGCAAATAGCAGCCAAATCACCAACAAAACACCTTCTATTTTATGCCAACAAATTCATTTCTGTCCTGACAGGCCATTCTACGGTACCACATCCCCCCACCAAGGAGCGACACCACCTTTGCCATGTCTGTGCAGACAGAGTGCACCGCACCCAACGCCACCCAGTTCCCTGTCACCATTCATGCTCGGTAGGAGACACTCAGTTGCCCCTTGCCTCCTCTGTGCTAAGTGGCACCAGTCTCTTGACAGCCAAGATTCCCCTTCACTCATGAGGTCCAAGTGCAAAGATGTCCTGATTCATTTAACTGTGCTATCCTCAGCTGGGTGGAAGGTACATGACCCCAGAGGGATGGCTCAGCTATAGCCCTCATTATCATTCCAGTCACCACAAGGTCTCCCAAGGTCTATGGGTCTCATTCCCTTCTAGGATTATGTCTCAAAACACTAGTGATGTGAAGGTCCTGTGGAACTGACTAGTGACACTTATCCCTAAGTCTTCCCTCCTCTGCTCCTGGTTGACTGTCATACCACTCTCCTCTGTTGTACTTCTGTGCCTGACTTGGGATTCAACTGCCAACAGAGCAGGTGGAGGATGTGACAATCCCTGCCATGTCTAGAGAAGGTAACTCCAGAAGCCTTTCAAGGAATTTATTCTCCTTTGCTCAGCACAATTTAAAGAGAGATGAGGGGAAGCACAAAGATTCAGTACAGTACAGGAACAGGTATGCTTACAGGAGAAACACTGGAAGGAAAAGCAGATTCCTCCACCTGGGTACCAAAGCTGGGCTGGGGTATCTGGAGATCATGACTCAGAAAGTAACATTAGTGCTGTCCCCTGGGTTCCTGCTGCAGCTACACAGGGAACCGTGTGGCGACCAACATGGTCCTGATCCAAGTGGAGCTGCTGTCTGGATACAGCCCCGTGGCACATTCACTGGAAGAGGTGAGACCGGGAGTTTGAGTCTAGCTGGGATGGGAATGGTGATGGATGTCCATCATGCAGGACTGTATGTATATCATTCCTATGGGTAGAGAAACACGGTCCTTTTCTTCTCAAGAAATCTTTGTACTCAAAGTCTCTTCTAGGCCACACCTTGCCTTCCCCTGCCACAAGGGCTTCCTTGGCCATGGGAACATTTTGCCTGTGCTCTCAGAACGACAAATGTCCCTGAATATTTCTGCTTTCTGTTAGAGTCTTTCTGACATTCTTCCCCTATTTTCAGCTAAAGAAAATGCCTTTAGTGAAGAAAGTTGAAAGCGAAGCTGATCGAGTCATTCTTTACCTGGAGGAAGTAAGTGGAGTTTAGGGTAACATTAAAAGGACTATGGACTGGCAGATCACTTTAAGCTTCATCTTGTATCTTGGTTCCATTAGTATTTTTAGTATCCAGAACTGTTATTCCTGCATACTAGTCGTATTTGTTGACCTGGAGAAGTGTGCTGGGTCAGCCTGCATTAGTTCAGCTGTAGAGCCTGTATACAGGGCCACTCAGCTTGAGTGCAATGGGGCTAACTCGGATGTTAAGCCTATATCTGTTGGCACTGTTCAGACTGTTGAAAGCCCATATACAGTGTCTCATCAGAATTGGGGAATAGTAGTAGGATCCATCTAGCAAATTCAAGCAAGCCTGAATTCTTAGAAAGCCCTTGAGCGGCCTGAATGTAGTAGGGAGCATCCAAGATTGCTCAGGGAGTTTGCCAAGATCACTCAAAATCAAAACAGATGGTTATGTGAGCAGCAGTGCTCTCTCCACAGCCTCATTAGTCAACAGATTAACAACCAGCGTTTCTCCAGTGAATTTCCAAGAAGCAGTTCTCCATTTCTGTGATTCTTCATCCCCAGTTGTCAATAAGCTGAGCTAAGCCAGCATTATAGTAAGTAGGTTATTGCTTGTATGGATGCATTATATTTGCAGAGCTGCTGCTTTCCTTACATTTACAGCACAGAGCAGAAAGGCAGCAAAGATTTCAGCTCAGGCTGCCAGGTAGCACAAGGTAGAACCCAATCAACAGCAGGTCATGCAACTACTACCTTCTAGCAGATGTTCATCCACATCTTGCTTTTGTCTGCTTAATGATGGGGGCTGTGTGAGACTGGAGAATAAGAGCTGATGTAATGGGACCGTGTATAAGAATGTAGCCACAGAGGCTACTTGATACATGAAGGAGCTCAGAGAAGAGCTGGAGGGGAATATGGGATTGGTTGTGAGCAGTAGTGCTACATTTAAATACCTAATGCACATCGAATCTCTGGACTTGATGTCTCTCATGAGATGAGCTAAATTTGGTGACCAAAAATGGGAGATGGCCACAGGATGTGAAGTATAAGATATTTCTGAGATGGACTGGAAAGCAGAACAGATCTGTCACAGTGGTGAGGTCTCCATGGAGCTCAGGTGAAAGGGATTGTCTTACGAGTCTTGAGTCTGGCCATAATCCTTGTATCTCTTGGTCTTAGCTGACTAGACAGCCTCACACCTATACTTTGCTGGTGCAGCAGGACGTGCAAGTGAAGGATCATAAGCCAGCTAATATCAAGGTCTACGATTACTACATGCCAGGTGAGCTCAGATGCTGTACTGCAGAAACCACCCAAAGGTACCACTGAAAGGAATTTTCTCAATTTGCCAAGTCTAACACAATACCATCCCTGATATGTTTATCTAACTGCCCTTTACAAGCTCTCTAGTGATGAACTTACCCTCTTGGGTTTCAAAATGGTAGATGCTTCTTTCTCTGGCCCCAGCACTTGCAAGCTTGAAGTTGGCATGTGGATCCACTTAGGATCTCTCCCAGCAAGAGGGGAACAAGGAGCTCAGAGCCATGCTTTTGTACACTCATTCTGTGGGAGGCAGCAAAAGCAGAGGGACCATAGTGAGGGGATGCCTTAGAAGAGTGAAGGCCCCCTTAGAAGAATGACAATGAAAACAACTTGTCCTCTCTTTTCTGGGGTCCCTAGTGGGAGGAAAGGCTAGAAATATGTCAGAGATAGCTATTGCTTCAGAAAGTGAGGAACCCATAACTGTAATGGAGCTGTTTGGGACTTAATTAAAGCTTCAAAAGTTCACAAGCCACATGACTTGGGTGAATCTGGAGTAGCTGCACACAGAGTCTTTGACACATACTAGTAGATTTGTGTGTCACAGTGGAGGGCAGTCATGACCTGTAAGCTGAGGGAACGCCTGTCCTAGAAACAGAGGCACAATTCTGGGCTGCTTTAGTAAGTTTTTGGCACATGTTTCTCACCAGCACTTTTTTTCTCATCTTCCAGAAGAAACTACGGCAATGAGCTACAGTGCTCCATGCGAGTGAGGTGAGACCCCAACAACTCTTTTGTCAGCACAGGCATGGTCCTGAAGAGTATGGAGAGGGAGGGAGATGCTAGCTAGTGCACTTGCTCAAGAAACTTGCCAGATTGCAGGTTCAGGGTAGGAAGTGATTAGCAATGATAAGTAAGGGTGAGTTCCCAGTGGTTAGTTTTAGTTCTTCAGGAACACAGATATTTTTTGTCCTTTCTTGTCTTCACAGGAACAGGGATAGGCCCATCCTCTGCAGTCTCTGTCCGTCAGTCCTTTGTTACCCTTGCCAATAGCCACCACATTGAGATGAGAAGCAACAGAAA